GCTTGGGTGTGTCTGGCTGGTCACTTCCAGCTGCAAGCAGTCTCAACAGTCTAATCCAGTGTAACTGTTTATCCCTCAGTGTCACACAAATGTCTCTCTCTTTTTAAGTCCTAAGGTGAAAAGGTTAGGAAGCATTGTTCTACAGCATTACTGTTTAAAGGTCATCTTTAGCCCTGGCCAGTTTGGCTCAGCGGTTAAAGCATTGGCCGGCGGTCCTGAGAGACCCAGGTTCGGTTCCCACTAAGCGCTCGTACCTCTGTTGCAGTTTGTCCCCGCTCCTGGTTGGGTCGTGTGGGTGGCAACCATTCGACGTGTCCCTTCCACGTCGATGTTTCTCTCTCTCTTTCTCCCTCCACACTCTATCTGAACAAAAAATTGAAAGAAAAAAATAAAGATCATCTTTATTCCTAATAATTTTTGTATACAAATTTAAAATTTAAGACCTGAGCCCTGGCCAGTTTGGCTCAGTGGTTGGAGCGTCGGCCTGTGGACCAGAGTCCAGGGTTCGGTTGCCACTAAGGGCACATACCAAAAAAAAAAAAAATTTAAGACCTGAATAATACAGCAGTGGTTAAGATCACTCTTGTTTTGAGAATCTGACAAAGCCAAAGTTCTTCTTCCCAGAATGCACCTCTAATCCTTCATGCAATATTTTGTGTACAACTTCAGAGGATTATAGAATCCAGATTAAGCATCTGTTCTGGAAGGATTGTCAGACAAGCCCAAATTTACTAATTTTAGAGGAGTTCATCTGCTTCTTTTCCCCACCCTTTCTCTACTACAGCTTCAGAAGACCAGAGGATTGTCAAAGAAAAATCTGAAAAAAGCCTTATACTGAACTCCCTTAAAACTTCCCGGGGAATGTGCAGACATCACTATCTACTCCGAGTGGCATTCCTCAGAAACTCCCAGCTGCTGAGGGAGAGTAATGCTAACCACTGGCTCCAAGCACCACCTCCCCTTGCAGTACCAACTGCTGAGTGTTGGGAAGCACTTGCAGGTCCAAAGCAGTCTCTGCACACCTCCCCTGGGTTTGGATGCATTTCTGGTTAGTGTTAATAGTCCTGGAAGCCCCATGTAATCACCTTACAGTCGCCCTTCTCTTTGCAAGCACACGACCTTGTTCGTGTGTATTCATCACTCCACACTTGTCACTAATCAAGACAAGATTGTATAAATGGGGAACAGGGGAAAAAAGGAACATTTACATTAATTAATTTTAGCAGCATCTTTATTGCAACAAATAACCTGTAATAAAATGCAACAAAACTAATGTTTTGCTTTACATGATTAAAAGCTATGTAGCTGAAAATGAGAAAACCCATAAACTCACTGGTGTGAGACATGCAATTCTTTTTATACAAGTCAATGCTTAAAACAGCAGGCACTTTATGTTCTAAAATTAAAGACCTGAACTCCAATTGTGCTAAATACAACATAAATTTGTACTGGGGTTATTTAAAAACAAACATATGAACACTACTTTTTCTCTGTCAGTAAGGGCCTTCTGAAATGATTACCTAGAGCTGTCTCTTGACAAAGTAAGAAAATCAGGAGCCAGCACCTTGCACTATATTATGTCTCCATATTTTAGGCTTCATGATGGATCAGTGAGATTGGGAGGAGCTGGGAAGGTGGAAGTTAGGGAAGCTTCCTTACTCCCTACGTCTGCTGGAATGAACATCTTAGTTTAGATGGGGCCATGTCTCTTTTCTTACTTCAAATAGCTATAAATCGGGCTTCCAGGCTTAAGCAAGCGCTCTATATCCCAACCCCCAAGTCCCCCCCACTACACCAAGGAAGATACATTTAGTATAACAATTTTAATTAACTTCAGAATGTCATATACTAATGAGAAGTACTGCTTCATTAATAAGCATGCTTAGCATTTACTTTAGAATGGAAAAATTAACCATTTTATGTTATCTTTAAAATGCTTCATAGGAATATATTAATAAATACTTCTTTTAAAATTTGCCTTTTCTACATACTTAACTACCATGAGTCAGGACATCTGGATGGAATCTAGTACCAACTGAACACTAACTGGCCAATGTATATATATTCTTCTATTTATGTAGGTTCCTCATCTAGCAAAGAATATTAGATTATATCAAAGATATAATAGCTTGAAAAATGTATGATTTTATAATGAGAGATCTTATAGGAATCATTCCACCTAGAGAGAGAACGATGTTACAGAAAGGCGGGATACACCGTCTGTAAGGAATAAAACAAGCAGTAAAAAAAAGCATCATTATCTAGAGCTCAGTCTTTGAAAAAGTAGCGCATGCATTGTGACTTCATCCTCTTGTACGAGGCTTTGGAAACGAGCCAGGAACGGCAGAGGGAAAAGCCTTCATTCCAAAAGGACTCTCCAGACAAAGGGGACACAAGTTAACGATACCTTGTGCCTCTTTTAGAGTGAGAAGGGACCAATAGTTATCACAGAGCAGCTGTTCTGACTATTGTTTTAGGTTCTTGTAAACAAGTCCAGTGTAAAAATTGCCTATTATACTCTTAATCCAACCCTTTTATCTACAGAAGTCTCTTAAAGCAGCCCGCGGATGACTTGCTTTAGAGCCACCTGGAGAGCTTCTTAGAAACACAGATTCCTGATCTCTACCCAAATAAATGGAATCCAAATTTCTAAAATTGGGGTTCAAGACTGCATTCCTTTAGGTACGTATCCCAGATGAATTTTAGATTTCGAGTCCCACTGGCTCAGCAATGCACAGGGTACCATACCTGCCAATGGTTGGTCGAGTGCTCCCATTTATCAAGCCTACAAAAACCCTGCTCGATGTTTAACCTAGTGCTTTTTGGCTCTCATCAAAACTGCTGCTACTTTGATATACTCTTGCCTTTTAAGTTGTTACCTGTAGACAGGGGACTAACAGTTTTAGTGATATTTCGACTGATTGCTTGAACTGACTATCATGCTTTTCACATCAATTTAAAAAAATCAAATTCAGTCAAGCTCTCTTTCTGCAAGTGAATTCAGTCAGGTATTTTCCCCTACAGAAGGAGACTGGCATTTAAGTGACTGGGAACTACAACAGAAGCATTTCTTGTGATATGAGGAAAGAAGAAAGCAAGATACAAAAGTAAACCTGCGAATTCAGAAGCTCATGAGGTTTTCAAAGGTTTGTTTTGGTGAAATAAAAGACGCTATTTTGAAGAAACAGCCTTAATGGATAAGAGGCTTCAAGTGAGTAGCTGTGTGAAAGCCACTGCCCATGCCGTCTCTGCTTTGCACATTATATCATCTGGATGCCAACCAGTCCACAAACACCACCTTCAACTGTCAGATATATACTTAAGTCAAGTGGGAAAATACTTTCATGGGGAAGAAAAGTTACCCAAATCAATTTAATTTAACACTGAAAAAATATAAACAAATCTTGGCATGGGAAAATATGATAAACGAAAGTAAATACATATACAGACAAAAGGGAAAAGTGTGGCACCTATTATACAGTGTAAATACACAAACAGCAAAGCCCTCCCCTTCCCATGGACAGGACCACCAGGTCACCCTGCCGCTTCTGGACTCCCTCCAACTTCCCAACTGGCCCTTGGTAAGGTCCCTCTGACGCACAGTCACCGTTCTTACTAACAAAGGCTGTGCCCTCTGAGGGAGGAGTCTACTCTGTGTAGTGGTGAGGGGAAAAAAAGGGCAATTTTTCTTGGAGTGTTGTTTAACAACTTTCCAAACACTGAGGCTTGTGATAAACAGGATGAAACTCATAGGTACCTTCTCTGCCGCTAGCTCTGTGACCCATCTAGCACCCTGACTCTAAGGGGACAGATCCCAATCAGCACCTGAAGCCTATGGGCTCCCTTAACAGTAATGTGCTAGAGCTAGCCCAGGAAATGTCATGGCCATTCAAGGGACTGCTTATAGGCTTTGAATACTGAAAAAGAGACATGGCTTGTCAGGGATCAGTTTATGGTAGAGAGGTTGTTGTGGAAACCTCTTTATTTTATGCTCACAATATTTAAATTATGCTCAAATAATTTTTAAAAAGGATAAAGACAGTTTAAATTTGTAAGGTTTCCAAAACTAAAAGAAAATAACAAAAAATTAGAATTTAGAATTATAAAAGTAACTTTCTTAAGGTACTTTTCCTTTCCTGAATAATTTAGTCTACAACTGTTGGCAAGAGAGGAATTTTTGAATTCTGGTTTCCTTAACATTCTAGGGGTTTAAATTTCACTGTCCAAACATTTTCATAAGGACTTTCGGTCAAATTATACTTCTGCTTAGTTGTTAAGCAGACCCTTGCCTTCTGCTCCCTGTCATTCTCCATAGCCCGGTCTCCCCCACTGCACCTCGGTTCCCTTCCATCTCTAAAACCCTGGAGCATTTTAATAGGAAATGCCCAGTGGAAAATGGCACCACTGCATTTTCTGAAGAATACGAGTGAATGTGCACTTCTTCCTTTTCCTAAAGGAAAAGAAATTGCCAGTAAATATTTAAGCTCTAATCATTTGGTTAAACATTTTTGCCTGTAAATATCAATTATTATAAGACTAATTAAATCCATGCTACATATAGTTACTAGCCTTTATGAAAAAGGAACTCACTCTGCCATATCGTCAAAGAGAACTATTTATATTAGGTACAGTTAAAATTGGCTAAAAACCGATCAGAGCTTGAATGAAACAAAATATGTGTCTTTAGGAGGCCACTAAGTATTCCTTGAAAAATCATTAATGACTGGTTAAGTCATAGGTTTAATAGTGATTAGTTCATAACATGCCGGATACACCCCAAGCAATGAAGCATAAGCTATTCAATTACATTTAAGTGCTATCAGATCTGTAACTAGTCAGAGATTCTGGAATTGAACCAACCAATCACTAATATCATCATATTTTAACAAACTCAGACGTATACTGTAAAAATACACTAATTAAGTCCATGAGGTTTATAATGCTATTAAAAGTGAAAATAAGGTAATATGGATACATAGTGCTAATGTCTTATTTCTTTCAGTAATTCTCAAGGTATTGCTGGGTCCCTTAGAAGTGTGTTCTTCAATTTTCTGAGTGTGTGGATAAAGTATTAGATTACTATCCACAAGCTGTAGATGCCTGCATGGCAATGCGGCAGGTATCAAAATGTGATGATCAGTTCTATGCTCTCTCTTGATTAACCCTCCTCATTTGGTAAACAGCCAGTGTATACCAGAGTTCTACACAAGTCAGAATTACATCACTTTCAGAGCAGCAATATGTGACCCAAGGTTTTCTTGAAGGTAGTGCAAAAGATGCAGTTCATAATGTTCTCCAGATTCAGGAACTCTTATGCTGTGTCTCTCCTGAGGATAGATCTTAACAACAACAAAAAATCAAAAAACAAAAAATAAGAATATATTAATACATCTTCTTCCAAAGCTTTCCAGAGATTTTCAACAGGATTAGTGAAATGGAGCATACCTCTCCAAGACATTACACACATACATTCTATCTAACGGCCCCTTTCTTTTTTTTAAATTTTCAATTACAGTTTATAGTCAATGTTATTTTGTATTAGTTTCATATGTACAGCACAGTGGTTAGACAATCATATACTTTACAGAGGTCCCCCACCTTGGTATTTTGAGAACCCACCTGGCACCTTACATAGTCATCACAACGTTATTGACTATTCCCCATGTAGTACTTTATATCCCCATGACTAGTTTGTGACTACCAATTTGTACTTCTTTATCCCTTCACCTTTTTAGTTTTCTTTTTTTTATCCTCACTTGAAGATATTTTTTTCCATGTTTTGTTCAGACAGAGTGGGAGGGAGAGAGAGGAAGAGAGAGAGAGAGAGAGAGAGAGAAACATCCATGTGAAAGGGACACATCAAATGGCTGCCACCCGCACGACCCAACCAGGGCTGGGGACAAACTGCAACGGAGGTACACGCCCTTAGCGGGAACCAAACCCGGGTCTCTCTGGACCGCAGGCCGATGCTCTAACCGCTGAGCCAAACCAGCCAAGGCTCTTCACCTTTTTCACCCAGCCCCTCAACCCTCCGCCCCTCTGGCAACCACCAGTCTGATCTTTGTGCCTATGAGTGTGCTTCTATTTTGTGTTTGTTTATTTTGCTCTTTAGAGTTCACATATAAGTAAAATCATATGGTATTTTTAAAAAAGAATTTTTTTCTTTATTGATTTTAGAGAGAGAGGAAGGGAAAGGGAGAGAGAGAAACATCGATGAGAGAACATCAATCGGCCGCCTCCTGCATGCCCCTTACTGGGAATTTGTGCCATAACCTGGGCATGTGCCCTGACCAGGAATCAAACTGGTGACCTCTTGGTGCATGGGTCAATGCTCAACCACTGAGCCACACCGGCTGGGCTCATATGGTATTTTGTATTTATCTGTCTGAAATTTTACTCATCATAATACCCTCCAGGTCCACATCTGCTGTTGCAAATGTTAAGATTTCACTCTTTTTTATGACCAAGAAATATTTTATTATATACATATGTACCACAGCTTTTTTATCCACTTGTCTATTGATGGGTGCCTGGGTTGCTTCCATAGCTTAGCTATTGTAAATAACACTGCAATGAACACTGGGGTACATATATTCTTTTGCATTAGTGTTTGGGTTTCTTTGAACATATACCCGTAAGTGGGGAAAAGACAGTCTAGCCCTGGCCAGTTTGGCTCAGCGGTTAGAGCATCAGCCTGCAGTCCAGAGAGACTCGAGTTCGGTTCCCGCTAAGGGCACATGCCTCGGTTGCACTTTGTCCCCGGCCCTGGTTGGGTCATGCGGGAGGCAACCACTTGATGTGTCCCTTTCACGTCGATGTTTCTCTCTCCCTCCCTCCCACTCTATCTGAACAAAAAATGGAAAAATGTCCTCGGGTGAGGATATAACAACAACAAAAAACCAACAAACAAAAAAGTCTGTACAATAAATAATGTTGGTAAAATTGGACAAGTACATGCAAAAAAACAAACTAGACGACCTTCTTACACCATATACAAATAAACTCAAAATGGATTAAAGACTTAAATGTAAGACCCTCTCTTCTTTCTGTAGTTCCCTACACACCACTAAACTTACAGAAGGATTTTTGTGTAGACCAATGGTTCTTCAAGTGTGGTCTGCAGGCTTCTGGGGTCTAGTTTTGTAAAATCAAAGAAGAATATCCAAACCTTGCCAGTCTGACTCAGTGGTTAGAGCGCTGGCCCAAAGACAAAGGGTCAAGGTTTTGATCCCCAGTCTCAGTCAGGGTGCATGCATGCAGGGACAACCAATCTATGTGTCTCTCTCCCATTGATGCCCCCCCCCCCTCTCTCTTCTCTTCCCTTCCACTCTCTCTAAAAATTAATGGAAAAAATATCCTCAGGTGAGGATTAACCAAAAAAAAAAGGGGGGTGGGGAATACACAAGGTCAAGCTACTTTCAGAACAATACTAAAACATTATTTGTCTTTATTCTCTGGGTTGGCATTTGCATTGATAGTCAAAAGCAATGGTGAGTAATAGTGCTGGTGCCTTAACATGAATCAAGGCAATGACATTAAATTGTACTAGAAGTCACAGTATTCTTCACCACCACATGCTTGTAATAAAAAAGGAAAATGACAATTTCACTTGTCTCAATAAAAATAAAAATTAAATTTTATTAAATTGCAACTCTTGAGTAGATGTCTTTTTAATATTCTGTGGTGATGAAATGGAAAGAATGCATAAAGTACTTCTGCTATAGGATGTCTGAAGAAAAACAACTTGTACAACTGAGTTGTGAGCTGAACTGCCACTTTCTAAATGGAACTTTATTTGGCTCTAACTGTTGAGCCAAACCGGCCAGGGCTCATTTTTAACTTGAAAGAATGGCTGACAATTATGGTGATTCAGACTTGGGTATTTGGCAAAAACTTTCTTAAAAATGGATGAAGTGAGCAGGCTAAAGAATGACACTGACAGTATTTGTTGCCAATGATAAATTTTGAGCCTTTAAGAGAAAAATCAGTTTTCTGGAAAATTTGCATCTACCACTACTAGCTCATGAACTTCCCCATATGAACTTAAGAGACTTTTCTGATGAGATCAGTGAAATTTTCATGTGAGTTTTAAAATACTATATAATGAAAAGAGTCAACATTTAGAAGACTGGCATAACACAGTGAACCAATATTTTCCAGATGACCAATGCATGGGTAAAAGATCCACTTGAAGTATAAGATTCAACAGATTATAATGTAACAGAATATGCAAAGTTTATAGATAGGGCTCAGATTCCACACAAAAGTTAACCTTTAAGAAAATACCATTTGTCTAGTTTTGTAGTATCAAAGAATATCCACAATTATCTGAAAAGGCTAAACCTCCCATTTCTTAAATACATATTCTGTAAGGCTGTACTTTCTTCACATACTTTTGCCAAAACATTGTACAACACACAATGCATTTGTAAGCAGCTATGAAAATCCAGGTGTCTTCCTTATTAAACCAGACATTAAGAGGATTTACAAAAATATAAAGCAATGCTACTTTTCTGAATAAATCTTTTTGTTTTATTTTGAAAAATAGTCTCTCCCACCCATAAAAATGTGATTTTTTAAAACATATAATAGCTTTAAGTAAATATTTTAAATAAAATAAATTTTTATTTGACTTTAGAGAGAAAGAGGAAGGGAGAGAGAGAGAATTATCGATGTGAAAGGGCAACATCAACTGGCAGCCTCCCATACACACCATTACTGGGAATCAAATTAGTGAGGGGACGACGCTACAATCAGGGCTTAAAATTTTTAATATATATATATTTTTTTCATTCTCTTTAAGAATAATAAGATTGTAGGTTTTCCTCACCTTTATTAAATCAAGAAATGAGCGGGCTAAGAGGGGCTCTGGCATGGGTTCAAACAAGCCCCACGGGTCCAGGAGAGACGCAGGCTTTGGCTGCCTGGTTCTCATCTCTTCCTGACCTCTCCATGACCTCTGAAGGTCTCAGAGAGTGAGCATGTGTGCTGATGAGATTTGTTTGGTTATATGCAAGGATCGGCAACTGACATTGCTCGGAAGACAGCCTGTGTGCGGCCCCTCGGCAGCACTGCTCCTGCTGCCTCAGCCATACAACTTGCATACAAGCCCTGGCCTCGTGAATCGCAGAAACTGGGGCCTCTGCTGGGAGAGCGGCTGTGTCCTGCAGTAGAAAGATTGTGAACTTTGGACTTGGGAACCAGACCCAACCATCTCTGTTGCCTTCTGGCTTCATGGGCAAGACGTTTAGCCTCTATTGTGGCCCAATATTTAGGAGAACAGAGGTCAGAGCCCTGAAGAGGCTCAATGAATCCATCTGAAGTCTGAAGCCCCCTACTAGCAGAGGCTGTGGCCTCTTTGAGTTGATAGCCAAGATGAAGAGAGGCAGTCAATAGTTTTAATATCGTATATGAGAAATACTGATGGACATAAACCACATAAACAAAAGCTGTTCATAAATGTCAACTGAAACATAAAAGAGGAAAAATAATATATTCCATTTCTTAAGAGCATACAATCTATGTAAGAAGTAGAAAGGAGGAAGAATTTCTATTAGAACCTTTTTATTTGAGTAATAGAGCAATGAAGGTGGGTGACTTTCTGGTTTCTGCTCTGATAGCAATATAAAACAAAATTAAAAGGACCATGTAATCAGGTTCTGAAACTCCTTTTCACAACAATAAAATCAAGTAACAATTCCTCACCCTTCCAAGGGGAAGAAGAAAAGCAAAGGAGGACAGTAAATGGATTCCTGTCATCTTTTCTCTGATTATAAACTGAAAACAGATACAGATACACACATCACAGAATCTAATAGGCCAGTTTTCAGCCTGACTTCAACAAAATCTTAATTTTTATCCAACGAGCGGCACTACTTACTATACCTATTAGTTTAGTTCTCCATAAGCAAAGAACGGCCACAGCTGAAAATTCAGCCTTATTCCATAATTTATTGTATTTTAAAGTAATCAATCACTAATCACTATTTATTTTTAAAATGTAAAAAACTCACCTGTAAATCATATGGCTTTCCAGCCCTCACTAAAAAACTCAGTAATATACTGGTGTGTGCAAAATGGACATTCTCATCCAAGAATCCATGTAAGAGCAGTAAACGATTTGGTCTGGAGAAATGGAAATACCAGAGGATTAGGCAAAATAGAGCATTTGGGAAAACCACTTAACTCCTTTAAACTAATCACATTTAACTATGTTAACTTCCTTATACTGTAATGTTAGAATGAGGATTCAACAGTTCAATATTAATATATTTGTAATAAATTAATCAGATTCTACATGTGTGAAAGATTTTAAAAAATAAAAAGATCATGTGTACAATTCCTATTAAGATATTAGCACACATCAATAATGATGGCATGTCCCCAGAAAAAGAAAAATCATAAACATTATTTGTAAAATAATGAAGTAAAATTTTTTCCACCTTAAAAAGTGCATTTAAACTTTTTTAGCACGAGCAATTTGCTTCAAATATAACTTGTAAAAAAACCCCAACACCCACAAACGATATGAATTGGCCTATAATTCAGCTTTGAGAAACACCCATGCCATTCTAGTCTTCTATAAAATATTAGTCTTGGTTATATTATTTGTAGTTTTCATTATTATTTTTAAAATATGTTTTTGTTGATATTTTAGAAAGAAAGGAAGGGAGAGAGAGAGATAGAAACATCAATGTGAGAGACAAACATCGGCTACCTCCTGCATGTCCCCCAACAGGGGATCAAGCCTGCAACCTAGGCATGTGCCTTGACCAGAATTCAACCGGTGACCCTTTGGTGCATAGGATGATGCTCCAACCGAGTCACATCAGCCACGGCTAAATTTATAATCTTAATTTAAAAGCTTGAACTTACTCAGAGGGGAACTTTTCTGCTTGCATGGCCACAGATCCTAAGTAATAGCCCTGTTCATTCTGGTCAGGGTGACCCATATAACGTTCCGTGTAGCCTGTATCATAGAAAATCCACAGAGTGACTGGGGCCCCAGCGATAGCAACCTGCATCCAACAACAGTGATAGTTAAGTGTGATCCAGAAAGGAATGGCTAGCAAAGAGAATTTGTAACTACAAATTTACAGGCTAAAATTATCCTTAGGCTTTAGTCCCACCAGTGGAGCTACATGGTCTCAAGCCATTCAAAAAATCAAAGTGGAGTGCCAAGGTCAAGAACTTGATACTTTGTGAGTCAGTTAACATTCTGTTCCACGGGCATTGTACCAAACCCTTAACCTGGGTCAACTGAAATATAAACATGTTTGTTAAAAGGGCAGACTGAACTAGAACATATGAATGCCTCAGTGTAAGCTCATTCTTGCTATGAAAAAATGTGCGAGAAGTGTCAGTGTTATATATAGGAAAAGCAGTCTCTTTTTCTAAAGCTTCTATTGGCAGTACAAAATTTAAAATAATAAATGAAATATATTTAGGCACTAAAGATTTACCTCATTTTGCCCTGGCCGATTTTGCTCAGTGGTTAGAGCGTTGGCCTGCGGTCCTGAAAGACCCAGGTTCAGTTCCCACTAAGGGCATGTACCTCGGTTGCAGTTTGTCCCGGGCCCTGGTTGGAGTCGTGTGGGTGGCAACCACTCGATGTGTCTCTCTCACATTGATGTTTCTCTCTCTCTCTCTTCCTCTCTCTCCCTCCCACTCTATCTGAACAAAAAATGGAAAAATGTCCTTGGGTAAGGATAAAAAAAACAACAAAAAAATCCACAAACATAAGAGTTACCTCATTTTAAGGTTCCCACACAGGTTTTTGTTTTTGTTTTCTTTTTTGATATTTGTTCAGATAGAGTGGGAGGGAGAGAGAGAGACAAACATCGGCATGAAAGGGACACATCGAGTGGTTGCCACCCACACAACCCCAATCAGGGCCAGAAACAAACAGCAATCGAGGTACGTGCCCTTAGCGGGAACCGAACCCGGGTCTCTCTGGACCGCAGGCCGATGCTCTAACTGCTGAGCCAAACCGGCCAGGGTAAGGTTCCCACACAGTTTTATATTTAAATATTATAATTACATTCTTGACAGCTGTAAGTCTGGAGAAATTATGACAGTTTTCGGAGTTCATTTTGTGGTTATTATAAAGATTATCTGAATATATATGAAAGCACAAAAACATTATTATTCTTAAAAATAAAAAATATTTTTCACTATAAAATGAAATCATGTTATTGAAATACAGGGTGGAGCAAAAGTAGGTTTATAGTTGTGAGTACATAAAATACAGAGTTTATTCTTATATTATTATTTATTAAGTACTGTATTATTTTCCATACGGATAACTGTAAACCTACTTTTGCCCCACCCCATATAAAAAAGAAAGCAACTACTTATAATTCTTACTCCCTTAACAACTGTTAGTGACTATATATTTTCTTCTAGAACATTTTTCTAAGAAGTTTATAGAACTTTAACTATCATTTATATATTTAATAATCTGTTCACTGAATACAGATTTACTTCAGCCCTATTATGTGCCAAGCATCGTGCTTAGCTGCTGAGGATACAGTGATATACAGGGCAGACAGGTCCCTGCCCTCAGAGCCTACAGTCAACAATTGAAAAAGTAACTACAATTCAGTATATATGTGTGTGTTTTACTAATCATGACTAACTCTCATAATCTTTGGCATATGTCTACAAATTGCCAATAACTGGTCAGCAGGTTGATAAGTTTTGTTTTTTATCTTCCTCACCCGAGGACATTTTCCCATTTTTTGTTCAGGTAGAGTGGGAGGGAGAGAGAGAGGAACAGAGAAAGAGAGAAACATCGATGTGAAAGGGACACATCGAGTGGTCGCCACCCACACAACCAACCAAGGCCGGGGACAAACTGCAACTGAGGTACATGCCCTTAGCGGGAACCAAACCCGGGTCTCTCTGGACCACAAGCCGACGCTCTAACCGCTGAGCCAATCCGGCCAGGGCGACAAGTTTTTTAAAATAGATAACTTGTATATATATAGCTCACATGGATATCACAAGTGGACAGATGTTTCTATTATCTCACATTTGCTATTAAACACAGAAACCCTAACATTCCTTAATACTACCAATTCTGTAAACCTTCAGAAAAATCAGCACTTTCTCATATCCTCAATTTACAGAAAATTCTATCCTTATTACCAAAATAAGTACATTAGAAAGTCACATACCCTGAAGATATCTGATCTCTGGATTAATGCCATGAGGGAGAGATAACCTCCATAGGACCAACCATGGATGCCCACACGATCTAAGTCAATGAAATCATATTGAGAAGCGAGATACTGGAGTCCTTCCACCTGGTCATCAATTTCTATTTGTCCCTGTCAAAAAAGGGAGAACATTTTACTGATACTAATGAATAAAAGTCTCACCATAAGAGTGTTTTTGAAGCTAATAAATGGTTTCACTAAAATACGAGTAGTTTTTTTTTTTATTATTAGAGCTCATTATCAGTTGAGATTCTATTGCCCGAGAAACTTTTTTTTTAAACTGTATTTAGAGATAAGAGCCTATAACTTCTGTTGCTAGCCTGCCTTAGCATTTAGTTAACCCTTAGTCATAAAGTTCTTTCCTACTGCAACCCAAATGGTCCCGTGCCTTATGGGTATTTCCCACTTCCATTTGTTCTGTTGTCTGCTAAGAGTCAGCATCTTCCTTGTAACAAGCCTTCCCATACCCAAAGACAAGAAATTAGCCCCCTTAAGTGGTTGACTAATTTCACTTCTCTTTTTTAAGGAATCATTCTTGAGGCCTCATCCTCCTATCTCCCCAGTCTACCTCTAGGAACTGAACATACTATTTCTTTAAAGTCCTATTAAGTCCTAATTCCTACCACCACCACCCTATCTGTATTACTAGGCCTGCCAGTGACCACAATCTCACTTCACTGAGCGAAAAACAAAAATAAAAACAAAAAACTTACATGAGAATACAACATAAGGTCAAAGAACTGGCTGTGGGAGAAAATCCCCATGTCTTACTCAGCATGTCCAATACACTGGCAAACACAGTAATTGCCTTACTGTGCAAAAGGAACATCGGATTCTCATCATTTCCCAAAGCAGCAGAAAGGACATGGGGCATCTCTAAAAGGTAGCATTTAAAGCTTCCTGTAGAGAGAAAGAGGCTTGTCACAAGGAAGGCACTAACCAGTGGTTTCTCTCTTCACAGAGGACAGAACAAATCTCAATTATTCCTCTCAATAGTATACAGGATGCTGAAAGCTAAATGGTGCTGTCTTCTGGCTAAGCTGGACATACAAAAAAGAAAGAGAGGCTATTTCTATGTAAAAGTGGTTCTATCTCAGCTCCCCATCATTACACACAAGTAGACATGAGCTAGCCTAGTGAGTATCAAGTTGCATCTTCCCTCCCACTCCCAAACTCTAACACTATAACATACACACTCTCATTCATCCACAGCCCCGTCCCCAACTCTCTCTCTGAAATTTCACACCAAACAATGCACCAGAAAATGTGTCTTTAAAAGAAAAATGTTTGTATGTTCACACACCATTTTATATTTAAAGGCGCCTTCAAATTTAAGCCCTCGATGACAGGATCCCCTGTTGTCTATCACTACAACCACATAACCCAGAGAGGCTAGAGTATTCAAACGGAAATACTTGACTCCTTTAAAGCGATTATTCACCAACTGCACCTGAGGAAGAAATACAACTTCAGTAAAATTTATTATACAGTAGCATACAAAAGCATAAGACAGGCAGGACACTGTGAAAAGTAGAAAGCTTAAATTTTAAATATTACTTTGCCTTTTAAATGACATTTTATTTTCTTGTGGGCAAGAACACTTAACATGAGATCTACCCTTTTAACAAAATTGTAAGTGTACAATATGGCATCATTAATTACAGGCCAATGTCGTACAGATCTCTAGAATGTACTCATCTTGCATAACTGGGACTTATGCCCATTGATCAGTAACCACCCGATCTATTTTTAAATTAACTTAAATCTTTTGATGTTTATGTTGCTTCTTTTCCCTATGTGGGATGGTTGCTCTTGAACCTGCAAGGAGCAATCTGGCCCCAGATTTCTCCAAGTCCACAATTCTTTGCCTCCAATTCTTTCATGTCCAAAGACAGGGAACCACCAACACATCTTTAGGTAGGAGGGTACTTCTTTCTTAACTTCACACTTAATTCAGGGCAATTACTGAGCAACTAATGACTTTAAAACTATAACCTAGATATTAATTACATTCAAGACAAGAGATTTAACACACTCTACAGAAAAAAGTTAGCAAAATGATTATTACTTCTACCCTGTGTCATTCAAATGGTAAAGACAAGGATAAATAGATCATTTTCGTCCCTATCCATCTCTTCTGGAATTGTCTCTGACCAGTAGCAGGAAAATTCAGTATTTTAATAAAACACTGTGACCAGTCCAACTGCTTTTTCCTGTTAATACAAATTAGTGCAAAAGGCGGAATAATTATTATATACCTTTATCACCCTAGAAACTGTACTTCAAAATGACTAGAAAATTAAATGTAGTTTAGTGTTTCACGAGAAATAAACTATCTAGTCAAAAGAGGATTTTAATTAGTGGGCAGAAAGTTATCAAAGTTCAAGGTTTGGTGACACTGAGATAAGATATTAAACAACAACAACAAAAACCATACTGGTAAATGAGAAAAAAAATTTTCTCTGGCTGAAGCCAATGGGAAAACTAAGTCAGCCAGGAATTAAACAAGAATCAACATTGGCCCTGGCCAAGTAGCTCAGCTGGTTAGAGCATCATCCCAATATCCCAAGGCTGTGGGTTTGATATGTCAGGGCACATACAAGAATCAAACAATGAATGCAAACATAAGTGGAAAAATAAATCAATGTTTCTTTCTTTTTCTTTTTTCTTCTCTCCTCTTCTCTCTCTTTCTCTCTCTCTCTCTCACAAGTCAATCAAGCTCTGGCTGTTGTGGTTCAGTGGTTAGAGCATCAGTCTTGGGTTGGATTCCTGATCAAGGGCATGTACCTTAGTTGCATTTTTGATCCCCACCCCCAGCAGGGGCCCCATGCGAAAGGCAACCAATCAATGTTTCTCTTTCTCTCTCTTTCCCTCCCTTCCACTCTTTTTAAAAATCAATTTATTTTCGCCCTGGCCGGTTTGGCTCAGTGGTTAGAGCGTTGGCCTGCGGTCCTGAGAGACCTGGGTTCGGTTCCCGCTAAGGGCACGTACCTCGGTTGCAGTTTGTCCCCGGCCCTGGTCGGTTGTGCGGGTGGCAGCCACTCGATGTGTCCCTTTCACGTCGATGTTTCTCTCTCTCTCTCTGTTCCTCTCTCTTCCCCCCACTCTACCTGAACAAAAAAATGAAAAAATGTCCTCGGGTGAGGATTAAAAAAAAAACAAAAAAAAAAAACCAATTTATTTTCTAAAAATTAATTGAAAAAATACCCTCCAGTGAGAATTAATAAAAATAAGTAAGTGAGAATCAACACTATCTTCACTCAATAAATAGCTACTGAGCATTTAATGGGCTAGACTGAGGTGGAGGTGTAGAGAATCTCTTCTTTTTGAACATTTGGATGTTAGTATCACTAACAACTGTCAAACTGGTCTTTCTATTTCTATTCTTATCCTATCTAGTCTGTTCACACAGTAGCAGAGGAATGTTTTCAAAATGTAAATTAGAGCCCTGGGTGGTTTGACTCAGCAGTCAGAGCCCCTGCCCAAGTACTGAAGGGTCATAGGTTCAATTCCCAGTCAAGGGCATGTACTGGGTTACAGGTTTGATCCCCGGCCCTGGTGGGGGTCATGTGGGAGGCAACCAACTGATGTGTCTGTCACATGGATATTTCTCTCCCTCCTTTCCACTCTATCTAAAGAGCAATGGGCCCTGGCCGGTTTGGCTCAGCGGTTAGAGCGTCGGCCTGCGGTCCAGAGAGACCCGGGTTCGGTTCCCGCTAAGGGCATGTGCCTCGGTTGCAGTTTGTCCCCGGCCCTGGTCGGTCGTGCGGGTGGCAGCCACTCGATGTGTTCCTTTCACGTCGATGTTTCTCTCTCTCTCTCTCTCTGTTCCTCACTCTCCCTCCCACTCTACCTGAACAAAAAATGAAAAAATGTCCTCGGGTGAGGATATAAAAAAAAAAAAAAATTAAAGAGCAATGGAAAAATATCCTCTGGTGAGGACTAAAAAAAAGGGAAATATCAGATATGATTTTGTAGCTTAACGTAAGGAATTTGAACTCCTTACCACTGCTTTTGAGACCCTTCATTATCTGGCCTTGGCAATTTCTCTGAGGACATCAACATCGATATCGCATACCATCTCCTTTCTCTCTTTTTTTTCCATTTTATTGTTCAGACAGAGTGGAAGGGAGAGAGAGAGAGAAACATGGACATGAAAGGGACACGTCGAGTGGCCGCCATCCGCACAACCAACCAGGGCTGGGAACAAACTGCAACCGAGGTACATGCCCTTTAGCGGGAACCGAACCCAGGTCTCTCAGGACCGCAGGCCAATGCTCTAACCGCTGAGCCAAACCGGCCAGGGCACCATCTCCTTTCTTATGCACTGTTATCAACTATTGATTATAACCCCAGGACCTTGACCTTGACATATACTGTTTTCTCTGTCTGGAATACTCTTCCCTCAGATCTTTAATGTGGCTCATTCCTTTTCATCCTCTGTAGAGATCATCCATGACCTTCCTATCACAACTTCCATTTTAGTTATTTTGCCATCCTCTTTCCGAAAAATTATTCACAGCACTTCCATTTATAAAGTTATATATATTTTTTGTCTACTTATTGTGCACTGTGGTATCCTCAATGCCTAGAATAGTACCTGGTGCATAACAGGAACTTAATAAACTATTTGCTGAATGAAAAACAAAAATAGAATGATGTTTTCTCTTCCTACCATAAGAGGAGTTTGATGGCAGAGGTGTGTTTTTTTAAAGGAAGGGAGTTGAGAAAAGAAGTACTAGATATAAAAGAACACAAATATGAGCATTTAAAAAAATGACCTCACTTCCTTGCCTGCTGTTATATACAGATGATGGCCTAAAATGTCTGATATGAAAGATTTCTCCCAGAGCTGTGTTTCTGCCTTTGCAGTCTGGAGGCCTACTACTTCTAGAAAGAAGTACTTAAACATAATGCCCTTTGGCACTGAGAATTCAAAAGTTCCTTCAGAATCAATTCTTTTTTAAAATTTTTTTATTCTCACCTAAAGATATTTTCCCATTGATTTTCAGATAAAGTGGGAGGGAGAGAAAGAGAGGGAGAAACACCAGGTGAGAGAGACACATCCACTAGTTGTCTCCCACAGGCAGGACCCTGACCAGGGCAGGGATTGAACTGTAACCAAGGTACACACCCCTGATGAAATCGAACCCGAGACTCTGGTGGGATGAAGTGTCAGAGGCATTCTACCATGCAGAGTGTCCTAGGGAGATTTCCCTGCAAAGCCAGATTCTCCTATGGCTCACCAAATTCGAATGTTTTCAAAGAACACTTTGAGACAGGAATTATTTCTTTAAGTGCAAGAAAGTACAGTTGTGTTTATAAAGTACTCCAAAAAATTAAAAAATGTTGTTTTAATTGCACTAAGATATTTTTTTATTATGGTAAAATATCTATAACATAAAATTTATCATTTCAACCATTTTAAGTATATAGTTCAGGGGCATTAAGTACATTCACACTGTTGTGCAATCATTACCACTATCCATTCCCAGAACTTTTTATCACCCCAAACAGAAACTCCACACCTATTAAATAGTAACTTCCTATTTCTCCCTCAGTCCCTGGCAACTTCTATTCTACTTTCTGTTTCTATGAATTTGCTTATTCTAGGTACCTCATACAAGTGAAATAATACAATATTTGTCCTTTCGTGTATGGCTTTTTTCACTTAGCACGATGTCCTCAAGGTTCACCCATGTTATATTTTTTAAGGCTACATAATATTCTACCATATACCATATTTATTTATCCATTCATCTGTCAATGACACTTAGGTTGCTTCTACTTTTTGGCTACTATGAGTAATACTGCAATGGACACCGGAGTGCAAGTGTCTGTCCAAGTCTCTGCTTTGGGTATACACCCAGAAATAAAATTGTTGGATCAGATTGTAATTATATTTAACTTTTTTTTTAAATCCTCACCCAAGGACATTTTTGCATTTATCTTCAGATAGAGTGGGAGGGAGAGAGGGAAAGAAAATTGATGTGAGAGAGACACATCGACTAATTGCCACCCATGACCCCAACTAGGGCCAGGGACAAACTGCAGAGTCTGTGCGTGCCCTTAGCAGGAACTGAACCCGGGTTTCTCTGGTCCACAGGCCAATGCGCTAACTGCTGAGCCAAACTGGCCAGGGCCTCTTTAACTTTTTAAAGAACTGCTATATTGTTTTCCATAGCGACTGGACCATAGCTCTCCTAATGGTTATAATGTGGTATCTCACTATGGTTTTGATTTGCATTTCCATAATGACTAGTGATATTGAGTATCTTTTCATTTGGCTTAGACTTTTAAAACTTAATTACTAATATAAGGTGTCTGTTAGTCTTAAAATTTAGATAACCAGATAGTTTTTATAGTGTTTTTCACATATTTCATGTATCATTTCTTCATTGGAAAGGAAAAACACCCTTCTTACTTAACCTTAATATGAAAATAATATAACAAAAAATACAAAGCTTCTGAGAGTGTACAGTAATTTCTCTTTTGGGTTTCTTTCTTTGTATCAAGCCTTTTTTTTTTTTAATCCTCACCTGAGGACATTTTTCCATTTTTTGTTCAGAGAGGGAGAGGGAGAGAGGAAGAGAGAGAGAGAGAGAAACATCAATGTGAAAGGGACACATCGAGTGGCTGCCACCCGCATGACCAACCAAGCCTGGAGACAAACTGCAACCAAGGTACGCGCCCTTAGCGGGAACCGAACCCAGGTCTCTCTGGACTGAAGGCCGACGCTCTAACCGCTGAGCCAAACCTGCCAGGGCCATATCAAGCCTTTTTAAAAGTTTACAAAGATTTGGCTTCAAGTTTTTAACAAAAGTCTAATTTAACATTTTCATAATTTATGTGTAGATAACCATAATACAAATGTGAATGATATTTGTTTGTAAAATATACTTAACAATGGCAAAGTGATTTAACCTGATATAGAGCATCAATGAGTTTATATGGCTCATGTAGTTACTTTACTTTTATTTTTTTTGGATGACTTGGAATCTAGATATATTTTCAGAATCTAGATATATATATTCTAACTTCTTCATCAGCTGAATGTAAGATATATAATCAAGAATAAATATTTTGCCCTGGCCGGTTTGGCTCAGTGGTTAGAGCGTTGGCCTGCGGTCCAGAGAGACCTGGATTCGATTCCCGCTAAGGGCACGTATCTCGGTTGCAGTTTGGCCCTGGCCCTGGTTGGATTGTGCGGGTGACAACCACTCGATGTGTTCCTTTCACGTCGATGTTTCTCTCTCTCTCTTCCTCTCTCTCCCTCCCACTCTATCTGAACAAAAAATGGAAAAGTGTCCCTGGGTAAAGATAAAAAAAAAAGAATAAACATTTTAAAAATATTCCAATTACGTAATTCACCAGACCAAAATACTTTACTCTGATAGACAATAGAATCTACTTAATACTCACATTCTAATATTTAATACAGAAAAAGAAAAATCAAGATTAAACCTTTACAGTGCTGAATAGTATGTACAGCAGTTGCCTTAGCTAGCTAATAAAAGTATTCTAGTTTGCTTAGGAGATACAGCCTTAGAATGAAGAGGGGGAATTCATCAGGTTACCATGGCTTTCTAAAAATAGCAGTTGAAAGTCTTTTTATTTACCAAGAAATTAAATTATTTAATTTCATCCCCCCCAAATTTCTTTAGATAGAAAACAACACAGTTACCTACTGACATGAATATTCCATTCTCCATGACAGTTATAGTCCTTATTGTAAACTAAGAAATTGATAGATTTACAAATTAGCCATCTTAACAAAACCCAGCTTTCTGAACTCCTAAACTGCATAATTAGAATATAATGCTCAAATTTTAACTTAAAACAATTGACTAGACATTTAAAAAACAAATCACATAAAAAAGTATATATATGTAATAAAATACACCCACCTGAGGACCACCATATATGAACAGCACAGTGGGGTATTTCTTTCCAGGTTGTAAATTATGAGGTTTGTAAAGCATCCCATACAATGTAAACCCAGTAGTACTTTCAAAAGAAAAAATTTCTGGAGGGGTATAGTCAGGAAGAGGACCTGCAAGGAAATAACATACAGAGTCTGTACGAGAAGTTGTTGTAGGAGCTCTACAACCTGAGAGCAAGGAAAAGATAAACCCACAGGCTCACACACAAATAATTGACCATTCCCCTTTCAGGTGATAAGCAAAAACTTAAGTAACAATATTTATCTTTAAAAAAGAAAACATAATGAACATATCAAATTACCTATTTCAGAAATAAACATACAGTATTCTGAATAATCCTTACAGCCTAGGAGGTATTTATGTGCAGAACTATACAAATACTTTGTGCTTGGTTAGGTGTAACTTATTAAAGGTTAATACATGTATCTGATTAGAAACTGAAAGCACAAATTTAACCTCATCAATTTAACTTGATCAAGGCAGGTGCTCAATAAACATTTATTTCTGACTATTAGAGAATAAACCTAACTAGAAGCCAGAATAAAGAAAGTCATGATCAGTCTTTGGTTTACCAAAGTTATACAGATCTATCCTAAGTCTGTGTGTACTCGACATTACGGTTTAAATAGAAACCATCACCATATTACAAATTCTGCTTGTGCACATTAGAATATATCTGTACCCTGTGGTTTTGTACTAATTCTTAATCCCTTAGCACATACTATGCATGGAAATACTTAAAAAAAAAAAAAAAAAAAAAAAAATTAGGGCCCTGGCCGGTTTGGCTCAGCGGTTAGAGCGTCGGCCTGCGGTCCTGAGAGACCCGGGTTCGGTTCCCGCTAAGGGCGCGTATCTCGGTTGCAGTTTGTCCCCGGCCCTGGCGGTTGTGCGGGTGGCAGCCACTCGATGTGTCCCTTTCACATCGATGTTTCTCTCTCTCTCTCTCTCTGTTCCTCTCTCTCCCTCCCACTCTACCTGAACAAAAAATGGAAAAATGTCCTCGGGTGAGGATTTAAAAAAAAAAAAAAAAAAAAATTAGGGGATATAGTGGATTAAAAGGTAGATAAAATGAGTCCATTTTTTTTTTTTTTATGTTTAGGAAATCAAACATTTTAAAAACAGACCATTCACAGCACTCTTCACTCCCATACAGAAGAAGAATTATTTTATTAAGATGGCCATTGCAAGTGATTTTTAAAGGTTTAAGAAAGTTGCCCGGCCGGTGTGGTTCAGTGGTTGAGGCTTGACCCATGCACCAAGAGGTTGCCAGTTTGATTCCCGGACAGGACACATGCCCAAATCCCCAGTGGGGGCATGCAGGAGGTGGCCAATAGATGTTCTCTCATCAGTGTTTCTATCTCTCTCTCCCTCTGCCTTCCTCTCTCTCTAAAATCAATAAATAAAAAAACATTAAATAAATAAATAAGTAAAAGTTTAAGAAAGCTACAAGCTGGTTAATTCCCTAAAGCTTCAGCTTCAATGCTCAAAGATTATTACTAGTTCAGGGCACATTATCTTCAAGTTCATTTGTTTATCAGGGAATGCATCCATAGTAAATAGCTTCCTGGTTGATAAACTGAATAGTGGCTATTTTAGTCCTGTTTTCAAAAAGGCCTTCCAGACTTGCTCCTGCCTAGAGTGGAAGGTAACCCATATTACTCAGTAGTTGACAGAATAGGAGGGGTGGGATCAATCAGAAACCCAGCAGCTTAGGAACAGGTGGTAGTGAGAGATGGGAATGTAGACATATTACATAAGTTTTAGAATACCAATGTATTATATTACTTAAGATCAGGTTCAAGAAAATGAGTACCTGCTGAATCCAAAATGGTGGCCCAAAATTCCTTTGTTTTGCAAGTTGGGTCATCTTCAGGACTTGATAGCTTGTAAAGGGACACAGAGTGTGGATTCTTCTGGTTACTGTACTTACTTATAAAGAAGTCACAATGCTAAAGAAAAAAGAAACAGTTAATTTTTTCCCAGGGAACAGTAACAAAGGTTATCTGCTCCTACATCTGCAGTGATGCCACTGAAGAAGTATGAGTCTGACCATTTAATGTACATACACAATGCTGAAGTTAAGGCTAAACTTTTGAAAGTTTTTCCTAAGAGAATCAGGCTTCTGCAAGCCAATTTCACTAATTTTCATCTTACTCAAAGAAGTATCACAAGAGTAGAGGTTTTTTACATGACAGAAAACCCTTTTCAAACAGGGACTTAATACCCGGCTCATGCAGCAAGAGTGGGAAAAGCCACGGTCGGTCAGCCTTGTCACTTCTCCAGGATTTACATAACTGACCACGTACAGATGATGTTCTAAAGGAGAATCTTTGGTGCCTTCAAAATATACCAGCTTTCTGACTTCATCAACTTGGATCTGACAAAATAACAACAACATAAAATCAGTGTTAGCATGACCATGGCAAGGTCAGTAATTCACCCAACAATTCCCAGTTTTCTTCAGAATCACGTGAGTCACCCTTTGACTTGTGCCTTTTTATTTATTTATTTTTAATTGTTATTTTTTCCATTTATTTTTAGATAGACTAGAAGGAAGGGGGGCGGGGAGAGAGAGAAATATTGATGTAAGAAAGACACATCGATCAGTTGCCTCCCACACAACCCCAAATGGGGATGAGGATCAAATCCAGGTATGTGCCCCTGACCAGGAATCAAACTCGCAACCCTTTGGTCTGCAACCAATGCTTTAACTACTGAGCCAAACCAGCCAGGGCGACTTATGCCTCTTTTAAAATATTTATTTATTTATTTATTTTCCTCACCCGAGGATATTTTTCCATTTTTTTGTTCAGGTAGAGTGGGAGGGAGAGAGAGAGAGAAACATCGACGTGAAAGGGACACATCGAGTGGCTGCCACCTGCACGACCCAACCAGGGCTAGGGACAAATTGCAACCGAGGTACGTGCCCTTAGCGGGAACAGAACCCAGGTCTCTCAGGACAGCAGGCCAACGCTCTAACTGCTGAGCAAAACCGGCCAGGGCTTATGCCTCTTTTAAAAAAAAAAATTTCCGCCCTGGCCGGTTTGGCTCAGCTGTTAGAGCATCAGCCTGCGGTCCCCAGAGACCCGGGTTCGGTTCCCGCTAAGGGCATGTACCTTGGTTGCAGTTTGTCCCCGGTCGTGCGGGTGGCAGCCACTCAATGTGTCCCTTTCACATCGATGTTTCTCTCTCTCTCTCTCTCTCTCTCCCCCTCCCACTCTACCTGAACAAAAAATGTCCTCGGGTGAGGATAAAAAATAAAAATAAAAAAATAAAATAAATAAAAAAAAATTTCCACAAATGTTAATAAACCTGTCCATTTTGTTTACGACTTATAGCTAAGAATAGATTATGCACAGAAGAAAAAAGGATGTAAGAGTTGCACAGTATTGGTAGAGAGTTTCCTATATGGTCAGAATATGTGCTTTTCTTAAAACACAAGAATTAGTCCATGAAAACGACAACTCTCTACAAGAAAAATAACAGCTATATTGCAGCTTAGGTCAACCATTCATGTACAATTAACAGAGTCTAATTTTACCATCGTATATATTTCTTAGTGCAGTATTATCTTAGTACTTTTTGATCTTTTGTAGAAATCTATAAAAGTGTTTTATCTATTGGGTTGGGAATAATTAAACTCAATACTAGTTACAATACTGGTATAATTTATAAATAAGTATGTATAAGATCTTTTAAAAAAAATATGTTTTTATCCCGGCTGGTTTGGCTCAGCAGTTAGTGATGGCCTGAGAACCAAAGAGTCGTGGGTTCAATTCTGGTCAGGAGCAGTGCCTCAGTTTCTATTAGATCCCTGGCCCTGGTTGGGTTTATGCAGGAGGCAGCCAATCGATGAGTCTCTCTTGTATTGTTGTTTCTCTCCCCCCACCACTCTATCTGAAAATCAATGGAAAAATACCCTCTGGTGAGGATTAAAACAAAAATGATAAAAATATGTTTTTATTGTTTTTTAGAGATAAGAAGAGAGAGAGAAACATCAATGTGAGGCAGAAATATAGATCGGCTGCCTCCTGCACAAACTGCTACCAGGGATGGAGCCCAAGACCTGGGCAATGTGCCCTGACCAGGAATTGAACTGGTGACCTTTCGGTACACAGAAGAATGACACATAACCAAATGAGTCACATCAGCCAGGGCTGGATAAGATCTTTTAAGTCTTCATTCAGAACTCAAAAAATTTGCAAGTAAATTCACAGATTAATTTATTTAATATTCTCCTCAACTCACAAGATTTTAAATAAATGGCTTTTATTTTTTTCTTTAAAAAATCTTTTACTAGCCTACTCAAACAAGTTTAGTAAAATTCATAATTTTTCATAGACCAAAGAAAACAGATACATTTCTAAAAGCAAATTAAAATAAAAAATTGTATGGCCCTGGCTGGTTCGGCTCAGCGGTTAGAGCATCAGCCTGAGGTCCAGAGAGACCCGGGTTCAGTTCCCTCTAAGGGCACGTACCTCGGTTCAGTTTGTCCCTGGTCCTTGTTGGTCGTGCGGGTGGCAGCCACTCGATGTGTCCTTTTCACGTCGATGTTTCTCTCTTCTCTCTCTCTCCCTCCCATTCTATCTGAAGAAAAGATGGAAAAATGTCCTCGGATGAGGATAAAAAAAAAATTATATGTTATTTATTGATTTTTAGAGAGAGAGAGAGGGAGAGAGAAACACTGATCGGTTGCCTCCTGCATGCTCCCTCCCGCCCCCAACTGGGGATAGAGCCCACAACCCAGGCATATGCCCTGACCAGGAATCAAACCAGTGACCTCTTGGTGCATGGGTCTACGCTCAACCACTAAGCCACACCAGCCAGGTTAAAAGCAAGTATTTCTAAATGCCACGTTTTCTTCAGGAAGCTTCTTCTTCATCATTAAACATTTTTAAGCACACATGGATACAAAAATAAAGCCACTTTAGATTCTATATATGACATACACGAAAAGGGTACGAGTGATAGGCAATAGCAGAACAAACATTTATGAAACTTCACAGGTATGTGTTAATCTGTGCAAAAGGTTGGGACTGGTTCTGCTCTTGACCTAGTAGTTGAAAATCAGGCCTTTCAAATTTGAAAAAGCAACTGGTTAATTCCTCACCCCCTACTTTGATGGTTCTTTTCTTTATTTCAAGTAACTACTTTATTTAACAAAAGTATTAGAATCACATGAGGGGCTATTATGCAGAGTCCCACCACCACAGATCTGGTTTAGGAGGTCTGGGGTGGGCCCAAGAATTTGCATTTCTAAAAAGTCCCCAGGTGATGCTGATGCAATGCTGCTGGTCCAAGGACCATACTTTGAGACTCACTCCTCAAAAGTAAGGGGCACATGGACTTAAAAGTCTTATATCCTTACTCAATTATTGCCACTAGGAATCTTTGGGTGGGAGCAAAGGTAGGAAAAAAGTCACTTAAAAAGAAATAGCTCTGTCCGGCCAGTGTGGCTCAATGGATTGAGCGTCGTCCCAGACTGAGAGGTCTGGGTTCGATTCCTAATCAGGGCACATGCAAGGGTTGTGGGCTTGATTCCTGGTGAGGAGCATGCAGGAGGCAGCTGATTGATGTTTCTCACATCACTGTTTCTATCTCTCTTTCCCCCTTTCCCTCTCAAAAAAATCAATAAAAACATACGAAAAATAAAAAACCCTGGACAGTGTGACTCAATGGTTAAGAGCATCAGCCCTTGCACCTAAGGGTCACAGGTACAATTCCTGGTGAAGGGCACACATCTGAGTTGCAGGTTTGATCCACGGCCTGGTTGGGGCTTGTGTGGGAGGCAACCAAGTGATGTGTCTCTGTCACATCAATGTTTCTTTCTCTGTCTCCTCCTCCCTCCCTCCTTACACTCTAAAAAAAACCCAAAAAAAACCAAAAAACAAAATCAATAGCAAAAATAGCCTCGGGTAAGGATTAACAAAGTAAAAAAGCAAGGATAGAGGAAAAATAAAAGAGTAAGAGAGATATAAACACATGACCTAAATAAGCATGACATAAACAAAGAAGAAAGTTGATGCACATATTGGCAAGTAATAAAGACATTTAGGTTGCCCAAATAAAGTTCAGCGCTACATAAATACAATTTTGGGGGTTCCCTAGGTATTATCCAACCATTACACTGCATGAAGTTTATATTAGTGTAATTTTTGTTATCAAAACTTAGAATTCCACAATAAGATTGTTCTCAGTTGACAATAATATCCAAGGTCTCTAAACAGAAAAAACTTTTATTTGGACATATAATCAGAAGGCCATGTGAGTCTCTCAGTGAAAATTAGACTTTAAAGGTTGCCTATGATATTCTATAGTTTTTACCAACAAAAACAAACCTGAGACCTGGATCTTTATTTGGACTATGAGTGACTTCTCTTAGTAGCCAGTATACACAATCCTTCAATAAATCTCCAAATCAATTTGAGGAAATCATAAGCCTTCACTAAATCTTGGTAGTATACATCAACTTAACTGTATGTATCACAAGTATAAAGGATGGAGTGCTTAGAGATCTCATGAAACTGACCACCTAACTGAAAGTTGAAACAAAATAAGGTACTATGAAAGACAAAAGAAAATATTTAGAATTCACTGAATAACCACAGAAAGCTACATGCTGAGAGTGAAACAGGGTGGATTTCTCTCCTTTTCCTATCAGTCCACACTCTGTATAAGTATCTATCACTCGTTGCAGATGGTGGATGAAATTTTAAATTTGTGAGATAAGATGAATAGGTGAATGAAAAAGAATTACTACCTCAGAAACAGTAAGTGTAATTTCTAATGCAGAAATGACACAAATAGTTTGTAAGAGATTTAAAAGTAGTTTTCAAATTGTACCTTAATTTACAATTTTTGCTAGACTTGAGAAGTATGGAGTAGCCCTTTCCTTATTAAGTAGCAAGACAATATTTGAAAACGGTGACCTGTAGTAACCAGCACACACCTAATACCAGGACTATAAAATGGGTGAGATTTTTAAAAATTTTTTTATCCTCACCTGAGGACATTTTTGCATTTATCTTCAGATAGAGCAGGAGGGAGAGAGGGGGGAAGAGAGAGAAACATCGATGTGAGAGAGAGACATCGAGTGGCTGCCGCCCACACAACCCCAACCAGGGCCGGGGACAAACTGCAACTGAGGTACGTGCCCTTATCGGGAACCAAACCCGGGACTCTCTGGTCCGTGGGCCGACACTCTTCTGCTGAGCCAAACTGGCCAGGGCAAATGGGTGAGATTTTTAAAGATACTTCTTTTCCAACAATTTGAATTCTTTTAGGCCCAAACACAGTATTTTCAAAATGCTAGAGTCATATGAAGTTGTACTATTGATTTTTAGTACTGTATACAAAAAGCAGACATTGACCAAACATATCAGCAGAATAAAAGAACATACATTAGATCCATGCCGGCCAAGAACTTCCCATTCACCACTGGTAATTGCTATTTCCTCTTTGACAGGACACTTGAAATCACCTAAAGATAAATATAGTTATAATTCAGTAATTTACACCAGACTATAAGGAAATGAAAAAATAAAGAATAGCATTCTAAAATCTTTTTTTTCCAAAAAGGTACATTAAAAATTTCAAGTTAGAGGTGGTTGGTTGCACAACACTGTGAATATACTAAATGCCACCATTCATTTAAAAATGGTTAATTTTAATGTTATGTAAATTATACCTTAATTAAAAAAAAAGATCTACTGTTATAAAATATCCAAGTTATGAGTCTTCATAATATCCTGGAATAATATGGAATGATCTATGTAAATAAAGTGAAAAAGCAAAATAGACTCTCATGGCAAAGCCAGAAAGGAACTAAAAACACTGGTGTTCGCAGACCTTAGGTTAGACAAAGAAGTCTAATAGTCAACAAGACATTTCTTCTAGAAATGCAACATACTACTAAAAATAAAACAAAACAAAAAACCATAGCCCTGCTGGAGTGGCTCAGTGGTTGAGCATCGACCCATGCACCAAGAGGTCACCAGTTCAATTCCTGGTCAGGCACATGCCCAGGTTGTGGGCCCAATCCCCAGTTGGGGGGCATGCAGGAGGTAGCCAGTCAATGTTTTCTCATCGATGTTTCTATCTCTCTCCCTCTCCCTTCCTCTCTCTCTAAAAATCAATAAAGAAAAAAAAATTTTTTTTTTTAATTTGTAAAAAAAAAAATACCATAAGGGGGAAATTTTAATATAATTGTTCTTCATTTGCCAAAAAATAAATTGGCATTACCATATTAAAGGCCAACATGTCCTATTTGTCTTGATGAGATTCTGTCTTGGTAGATGAGGTTCTCTCACGGGTTTAAGGAGGAGGTTAAAAAGGTAAACTATTTCTCTTTGCCTAGCTGTGCTAACTATGGCTGTGGAAGTGACAGCCGAGGACAGGTGGAGATGGTAAGATGGTAGAGGATCTTAACTAGTCCCACTCAAGTTTTAAAAATGGACTTACTTTCTTTTTCTTAGATATAAAAACTCAACCTAGTACTTTAAATATATATACAAGTCCTAATTGTTTTACATTATAGCCACTTAAGGAAGAAAAGAGAAAGAAGGAGAAAAATAAAGTGGACATTAAGGAAAAGTAGGAAGACTTAGAGCAAGAAAGACTAAGAAAAAAGGAGGGAAAGGAAGAGGTACACAAATTGAGGGGCCCAGAAATAGACACTGAGAGGGAACAGGGTCTAGGTGTTCTGAGACAAATATTAAATGAAGTAACAACAGCTCTTTTAAGTTCCTGTCTGTTTATTATTGTCCCCAAAGTATTTTAGTTAATTAACTACTATTCACAGCTCTCTGACCAGTCTTCCTCACTACACTTCTAAACTTTCTGGAATTCTATAATTGGATTTAATTTCTAAATAATAGAGGAATTGGTAGCACAATTTCACACTAAGGGACACATTAAACTAAGGCTCTCAGGGAAGAAATTCTTCATCTTAGATATATAAGATCTTGCCTGTTTTTTTTTAAATTAGTCTAAGGAAAGGAATAATCATAGGTAGTATTTATTTTGCTAGTCCTAAGATGTAGCTGTTTCCCAAATAAGAATATTCAAAAGGCCATGTTGAAAAAACAACCAACCAAATTAAACACTCAGCAAAGGATTCAAACAGACACTTCTCCAAAGATATTCAAATGGCCAATAAGCACATAAAAAGATGCACAATGTCACTAGTCATTAGGGAAATACAAATCAAAACCATAAAGACATACCACTTCATATCTACTAGGATGGCTATTAAAAAAACAAACACCAAAAAAGCAGAAAATATCAAGTGTTGGCAAGGAGAAACTGGAACACTCACGCACTGCTAATGGGAATAGAAAATGGTGCAGCCACTATGGAAAAGAATATGACAGTTCTTCAAAAGTTAAAATTAGAATCACCATAAGATCCAGCAATTTCATTGCTGGGTATACACCCAAAAGAGTTGAAAGCAAAGTCTCAAACAGATATTTGCACATTCATGTTTATAGCAACGTTATTCATAATAGCCAAAATGAGGAAGCAATCCAAGAGTCCATGGACAGATGAATGGATAAATAAAATGTGGTATATACACACAACAGAATATTACTCAGCCTTAAAAAAAAGACTTTCTGACACATGCTATGTAGACAAACCTTAAGAACATTATGCTAAATGAAATAAGCCAATCAGAGAAGGATAAATATTGTATGATTCCACTTGAATGGGGTTATCTAGAATTGTCAAATTCACAGATACAAAAAGTAGATGCCAGGGCCTGAGGAGAATGAAGGAATGAGGAGTTATTTATTTTCCACTAAATTGGATATTTATTGGATAGTTTCAATTTTGGAAGATGAAACAAGTTCTAGAGATAGACAGATGGTGGTGATGGTTGCATAACAATATTAATATATTTAATGCCATTAAACAGTTAAAAATAGTTAAAATAGTAAATTTTGTTATGTATATTTTATAATTTTTAAAAATGGCTATGTTGAGTCTGTTAAATTACAAATTACAAGTACATAACATAACATCATTAAGTGCTTAGTATTTCAAAATGAATTCTGTATTATTAAAGTAGAAAACTCAACTCAGTTTTTTAAAAAACCCAGGATTTAATGTACCATTTTCACTTTTTCTAGGCTTCTCTATCCATTCTGTATTATATTTCCCAGAAAAAAGCCATCACCTTTTCAAGAGAAATTAACTTCAGCTGACACAAAAATTAATTTCACTATAAATAAACTTCAGTGTAGATGGCAACAGTATTAAAAAACCTTGTATGTAAAAATATCTAATAACTATATGATATTTAAAAAATAGCTTTTTAAATCTAAAAATGATATGGGTTCACTTGAACCAATTAAAAATTACAGTCAAGGCAAAAGTAGAAAGTAAAAATAAGTAACCCACTACCCAGAGATTACCCACTATTAATAGTTTATGATACATCTATCAAGAACTTTGTCCTACTGGGTACAGGCAAGATGGTAGAGTAGATGCCAACTCAACTCCTGGAATGTAATTTTCCAATTAGGGATTGCAAGTATTAAAATAAATATACTCGCAGAAACAAAGCAAAACATCTTTGTCCTATGTCTTTATACATGCACATATTTATTTTAGTTTACGTATTGAGTTTAATAAAGCAGCACTGATGTTTATAAAGTATATAAGAGAGACAATACATTATCCTGTCCCTCCCACCTTCTGCCCCCAACATTTTTTCTTTTTCAAATAAAAAAGGATTTCTTACTTGGGGCAGGTAGCCCACCACTGGATCGTTTATATCTGCTCTCCTTTAAAATGGATGTAATTTTATATAAATGACGAAAACCTGTTTTGCATTCAGAGGCAAAAATAAATTCAATTTCATCTTCATGACTTTGGGGAAAAACATGAAAGATGTCATGGATCTGTAAAATGAACAGCTTAATTTACTATACACATTAATAAAATATACATAAACAATTCAATTAAGCTACAGAGAGATTTCATGAACATACTATGAAGTATAAATAACTGTTGGTGCTACGGGCTATAGTATATTTACAATTATGATTCTGCCTGGGCCTTTCAGGTTTATCTTAATTTAGTCAAAGACTCCATCCATTGAGAAATAAATGTTTCCAAATGGAGATAAAATGCCAAATGCTTTTTTTACTCACCATTTCTCTAATCCTTTGATACATGGCACAAAGCTTAAGGATATAAATCTTATTACAGAAATGATGAGGAAAAAATTTTAACTTTTTTTTCCCAAAGGAAAACATTCTAACAGTTGAAGAGAAAACAGATGTTTGTTTTAAGTGAGTCTTATAAAGCTTATATTCAGCAAGGGAGTGAATGGGTCTTATTTATTTTGTATCTTAAGTTTTTCCCACTAAATTGGAAAAGACAAAATTCAACCCAAATTGGTATATTTTGGTATAGTCTGCCAACCAACAGAGAAAGCCTTTTCTAGACAGGACTCTTATGACCCCCTTAGAGGTACTGATGAGGCTGTGTTTTTCCATATCTGATGTGTCCTGGAACAAAGGAGATGTCATTTCAATGGCATCTACTTTCTATCTACAACCATTTCATTATTCTAGAACCATCATTCCAATTTGAAATGTTAAAACTAAGCAAATAATATCTGTGGTTACTTTGAGTTTATAAATTCATTTTGATAGTCTGCTATAAAACTTTATATGCTTTAGCATGCTAAGATATTTAACCAAGTACAGGAGAACAGGCATACATTTATCCAGATGTCTGTTGTTTCCTCATAGATAATCAGTGGCGTCACAGAGTCAGGCACTGACTCAATGAGTCTCTGTCTTTCCATGGCATCATCTTCTACTGGGATAAATAATTCAGGGGAGATCAACACTATCTGTAGGCGAGTCTGAGAGCGATCTAGCAGGATGGACCAAGCACTATTTAAACACACAAGAGAAAAGCACCAAAAATAAAGCAAGCTCTTAGAAAATGAATATTTCCCTACTCTCTCCCCTAGCACGATATTTCTGTATTAATAATTTTAAAAATTGCTTTAGTATACATTACATTGTTCCTTACAAATGCTAATTAAAAGTATTACCTTATTCTACTTTTATTTTTTAAAGTTAAACTTGAAAAGAGTTTTTTAAAGAGCTTTTCTTTATATTTCCAAAATCACAGATGGCCTTTGAAATTGTTTTCTCCCTCTAGTGTTAACAAATGCCAGCCTTGTAAAACTGTTGTCTACATTAGACAGAACCATATGTAATTTTCTTCACATAAGGCTCTACAAATATTTTTGCTTAAATTATGCAATAAAAAAATATGCACTTACATGTGAGCCTTAAAGTCATACTATTTTAACCACAAATAACTGAAACTGTGAGTGGTTAAGTAAGAGACAATTAAAACATTACCGCCCTGGCCGGTTTGGTTCAGTGGTTAGAGCGTCGGCCTGTGGTCCAGAGAGACCCAGGTTCAGTTCCCGCTAAGGGCACGTACCTCAGATGCAGTTTGTCCCCGGCCCTGGTTGGGTTGTGTGGGTGGCAGCCACTCAATGTGTCCCTTTCACATTGATGTTTCTCTCTCTCTCTCCTTCCCACTCTATCTGAACAAAAAATGGAAAAATTTATCCTCGGGTGAGGATAAAAAAAAACAAAAAACAAACAAACAAACAAAAAACATTATGTACTTATGCTTATAGGATTACAAATCCAAATGTCCACTTAAAAAAAAAATTCTTTGTGTATGAAGAACAACACTGCAGCCCTGGCCGATCTGGCTCAGAGGTTAGAGCATCGGCCCACGGACTGAAGAGTCATGGATTCAATTCCTGGTCAAGGACACGTACATGGGTTACAAGTTCAATTCCCGGCCCTGGTCAGGTTCTGCAGGAGGCAATCAATTGATGTTTCTCTCTCTCTCTCTCTCTCTTCTTCCCACCCTCCCTCCCTTCAACTCTATCTAGAAATGGAAAAATATCCTCAGGTAAGGATTAACAAAATAAATAAACAAATAAATAACAACACTGCAAATGTACATGTGAAGGCAGCTCCAACTGAAAGACAACCTAATAGCATAGACATTTCTAAAGTTCTGGATCCTAAATTGTTTGTAAAGAAGTAACAATTTAATATACATACTATTTTCCCTCTGGAGTCCATCCAGCTCTGGCAATATATTCAACTCCTTCAAACAGAATCTCAAAAGGCTGAATTAGTTCCTTATCTATGACATCTATAATCTATTAAAAAAGAAAAAAGAAATCTAGTTATAAAAGACTTACATAAATAACTAGCTTACTAGTCTATTTAAATCACTCTCTTTAGTAACATGATACTTTTTCAGACCCAGGCATTTAAAAAGGCACACAGGATATAGCAAAACCAGCAGTTGTGGGTAATTTATGCTGGTGGCTCTTTATGCCTAAAAAAGTTCTAACTACAAGAATTAGCACAGTCTATGATGGTTGCCAGAGACGGGAGATAAAGCTGGGGACAGGGTAAAAAAGGTAAAGGTATTAAGAAGAATTGGGCCCTGGACGGTTTGGCTCAGCGGTTAGAGCGTCTGCCTGCGGTCCCGAGAGACCCGGGTTCGGTTCCCGCTAAGGGCATGTACCTCGGTTGCAGTTTGTCCCCGGCCCTGGTTGGTTGTGCGGGTGGCAGCCACTCGATGTGTCCCTTTCACATCGATGTTTCCCTCTCTCTCTCTCTCTCTTCCTCTCTCTCCCTCCTACTCTGTCTGTACAAAAAATGGAAAAATGTCCTCGGATGAGGATAAAAAAAAAAAAAAGAAGAAGAAGAATTGGTAGTCACAAAGTGGTCATGGAGATGTACAGTACAGCACATGAAATAATATTGTAATAACTGTATACAGTGCCAGGTGGGTACTTGAAATATTGGGGAAACCACTTTGTAAAGTATATGACTGTCTTACCTGAAACTAATACAAAATAATATTAAATGTAAACTGTAATTAAAAAATAAAATTAGCCTAGCTGGTGTGGCTCAGTGATTGAGCATTGACCCATGTACCAAGAGGTCGCCGGTTCAATTCCCAGTCAGGGCACATGCCCAGGTTGTGGGTCCAATCCCCAGTGGGGGGCATGCAGGAGGCAGCCAATCGATGTTCTCTTATTGACGTTTCTCTCTCTCTCTCCCCCTTCCTCTATAAAATCAATAAAGAAAAAAAAAATTTAAGTAAATAAATAAAAGTTTAAAAAGGGAATTAGCACTAAGTCTTTTCCCATGAGTTTTTACTAAAAGGACCATTGATAATTATTGCTAAAAATGTTTTAGTCACTCTAGTATCTATGAAAAATAGCAGTTCCTAGTTCCCTATATTTTTATTTTTATTTATTTATTTTTTCACTTTGTAACACTTTTATTAAGAGTGATCCAAGCCTGGCTAGTGTGGCTCAGTGGCTGAGCATTGACCAATGCCCCAAGAGGTCGCCGGTTCGATTCCCGGTCAGGACACATGCCCAGGTTGTGGGCCCAATCCCCGGCAGGGGGCATGCAGGAGACGGCCAATCAATGTTCTCTCTCATCAATGTTTCTCTCTCTCTCTGCCTCTCACTTCCTCTCTCTCTAAAATCAATACAGGAAAAAAAAAAGAGTGAACCAATAGCCCTGGCTGGTTTGGCTCAGCGGTTAGTGTTGGCCTGCAGAGCAAAGTGTCGAGGGTTTGATTCTGGTCAAGGGCACAAGCCTTGGTTGCAGTTCGGCCCTGGCCCTGGCCAGCACTGTGCAGTCAATGTGTCTCTCTTGTGTGGATGTTTCTCTCTCCTTCTCTCCCTCCCTCCTTCCCTCCCCTTCCCATTCTATCTGAAGATAAATGAAAAAATATCCTCAGGTGAGGATTAAAAGAATAAAAAAAAAGAGTTAACTAATATCAGTATTCCTAAACTGTAAACAACGGGGAACTGAAATATCAAAGGAAACATATTAGGATCATACATAATAGACAAAAACCCCTTAAATTTTCTTTTTGTCTTTATACATCAGTGTGTAATATTTAAGCATAATTGAATTCCTTATCATGCAAAAGCTGCCTTCTCTTTATCTTTCTGTGCCTTTATCTTTTGTTTGAATTTCAGAAATTCCACCTGGATAGCTTTATCTTCTGGTGCTATCACCTGAGCTTTCTTATCAGTTGTATTCTTCTAATCCTTGCTATCCTTGAGCTCTATGGTACAGCGCTTTGGTATTTGATGGGTCTATTCCAAGAGCCTCCAAACAACTGTCAATTGCTCCCTGCCAGTTTGACATCTTCAGTTTACAAGCACCAATAGTTAGCATGCAGCTTAAAGCTACAGGTTGTAGCCATGATCTATCTGCTTTCTCACTAAAAGCCTCTGAACCTTCCACATATCTTAAAACCTCTGAATATACTTTTAAGGACCATCTCACAGTTCTGGGATTTGAAAAAAGTATTTGCAATGCTTTAAGTCTTCTGTTATTATTATTTTATCTACATTTTAAAAACTCCATCTGCATCCTTGGGGAAATCTGGATGACTGTCGCCAAAACTATCTTTTGTGAATACTCCCCAATCACGTCCTTCTTTCAATTCTCCGCATTCTGTAGTAACACACAATTTGGCAGGTTTTTCACCTTTCACTTCTACATTTTCCAGAATTCTTGCCACAAGCCATTCCTTTAATTACTTGGCCAAATACCATGTTTCCCATCCAAATGAGTTGGAACTGTTGTGATGAAGAACTGAGAACCATTTGTATTGCTGCCTGCATCTGCCATGCTCAATAAACCCTTCTGGTTGTGCTTATAACAGAAATGTTCATCTTTAAACTTTTCACTGTAATTACTTTCTTCACCTGTCCCATTCTGATTTAAGAAATCTCCACCCTGCCCTGGCCGGTTTGGCTCAGTGGTTAGAGCATCGGACTACGGTCCAGAGAGACCTGGGTTCGGTTCCCATTAAGGGCACGTACCTCGGTTGCAGTTTGTCCCTGGCCCTGGTTGGGTCGTGCAGGTGGCAACCACTCAATGTGTCCCTTTCACATCGATGGTTCTCTCTCTCTTTCTCCTTCCCACTCTATCTGAACAAAAAATGGAAAAATGTCCTTGGGTTAAAAAAAAGTCTCCACCCTGAATCATAAATTTCTTTCTTTTTTTTTTTTAGTATTTTTTAAAATTTATTTTATTTTATTTTTTTTATTTATCCTCACCCGAGGACATTTTTCGATATTTTGTTCAGATAGAGTGGGAGGGAGAGAGAGGGAGAGAGAAAAACATCGACGTGAAAGGGACACATCGAGTGGTTGCCACCCGCACAACCCAACCAGGGCCGGGGACAAACTGCAACCGAGGTACGTGTCCCTAGTGGGAACCAAACCTGGATCTCTCCAGACCGCAGGTCAACGCTCTAACCGCTGAGCCAAACCGGCCAGGGCTGAATCATAAATTTCTTAATAATTCGACTGAATAGACATCCTTTGAAATGGAGAGGTTTCCCAGCAGTGGGTCCAATGCCTTTTTCTCCTGTATACAACACACAAAAATTTTCTGCAGTTTCAGGTACAATATCTGCAAACAATTCTAAGACAACTCGACCTACTCACTCACCTCTGATGTCCATGTCAAAGAAAACTTGGGGGCTAATGGGGTTGGAGGACTTAGCTTGGGGGGATGGGAGCAACATTTTGACTTGTAGACATGTTTGGAAGTGGTCTGGAGCACCATGTGGTCACCCAGCAGCTGAAACCCATCCCTAGTTCCCTATATTTTAGCCTAAAATATTATTTTTATGTTAGTGAAACAGTCCTGGGTAAGTAAACTTTTTTCCTTTAAAAGTCTAGCCAATGCAATTAAAAAAATTTTTTAATGGGTAAAGGATCTGAATAAACAGTTCTCTATAGAAGATTTATTAATGGTCAATAAACAGATGAAAATAAGCTCAACATCATTAGCCATCAGGAAAATGTAAATCAAAATCACAATGAGATACAACTTCGAACCCACTAGGATGGCTATAATAAATAAGATGAACAATAACAAGTGTTGATAAGGATGTGGAGAAATTGGAAAACTTACACACTGCTGGGGGGATATAAGGTACTATGGCTACATTGGAAAACAGTTTGGTAGTTCCTCAAAAGGTTAAACATAGTGTCAGTCTGCAGACCAAAGAGTTGCGGGTTCGATTCTGGTCAAGGGCACGTACCTCAGCTGTGGTTTGATCCCTGGCCCAGGTTGGGGTCGTGCAGGAGGCAACCAATTGATGTGTCTCTCTCACAGTGATGTCTTTCTCTCTCTCCCTCTCCCTCCCTTCCACTCTATCTAAAAAAAAAAAAGGAAAAATAACCTCAGGTGAAGATTAAAAAAAAAAGTGTGCTTAAGATCTCCACTGGACTAACTAGACTAGTCAAATTACACACAAAAAATCAAGTCAACTTTTTATACTTACCCTTCCTTCAGCATCAATCATTATTTCTGACATCTTAAAAGTGACTTTTGGGTTTGCTGTACCTTTAGAAAGAGACATAAACAAGACATACATATAGTAATGTATACCCAAAATTACTGAAATTCTGCTAGATCAATCCTCTTTATACTTTAGTTCAGTCAGAATATTAGAGTCAGAGCTTTAGTGCACAAGAATCTCAGAACTCCATCGCAAATTCACAGTTTTGAATACAGGTATTAAAAAAGAGGCTGCCTGGCCGGGTGGCTCAGTTGGTTAGAGCGTCATCCTGATACACCAAGGTTTCGGGTTCCATCTGCATTCAGGGCACATACAAGAATCAACCAATGAATAAATAAGTGGAAGAACAAATTAATGTTTCTCTCCCTAAAATCAATTAAAAATAAATAAATTTAAAAGGCTGAAAAATAAAAATTAGTATAAAATAACAGGAAATTTTGTATCATTTCGAAATGCTGTAGAGAGAAAAATGGGAGGAAAATTACCAATTTATTAAGAACTTAATCCCTTAAAATTTTATTTTCTAGCAAAGACACCTTTTTATTCATTCCTTGAAATAACCAGTTTTGTGCAGTTCACTTTTGAAAATAAATAAAAAGGATCATCCTGTAATTAAATAATCTACTTCAGTGACAGTTAACGACCCATCTTTACTAACTAAGGTTGTGAATAACCAATGTTGACCATAACTTTGGATGATTGCAGAGATTTTTGTTTGGAAAGTAGAAATGAGTGAATATAAATGCCAATGGAATCTAGTTACCTGTTTTAGGATAACGAAATGAATCTGCCCTTCTTGTTTCCAACATAGGAGATGTAACATGAATAATTTCCACCTCAGATTCATCATTTTCTTCATACAAAATTCTAAGAATTTTGCTGCCACTGGGAGCTTAAAAGGAATTTAAATATTGAAAATTTAGAATTATTCCAGAAAGTAATCATAACTGACTGTTCCCTCTAGTATTGTATTTCCCAAGTGAAAACTAAGTTTTATATAAAATATACTACCTTTTGTGTATGAAAATTACACTAGTCTTTGTAGCAGCAAGGTGAGGTACTGTTAAGCCATTTTTACTGCTTGACAACTATTAATTCCTTTTGGAGGGCAAAAACTGAAGATAATTATGTATATGTATATAATTAAACAGGAAAATACATGTGAAGGACTTTGTCCTTGCATACATTAACATGCATTCCTTATTGAAAAATGAATTATTTAATTACATTTGTAATACTTCCTATAAGAAATAAATGCTATTTAAATAGAGTCCAGTTTTTTTAATGGTTTCTCTAATTCATGTCAAAATCTTGCTCTAACATACAATTATGAGATCATTTTACATCTTAAAATGTCCAAATCTAAGTCATGGCTTAAAAATAAATATTTTTTCATGGTCCTTTAGAGAAGTGTTCAAATGCTAGCTGTAATCTATTAGTGACTCATAAAATCTATTAATAAGTCATAACCAGCATTTTAAAAAATACAACCAACAGAAAAAATATACATGAGTATGTTACAAATGAGTATTGAATCATAAAATGTATTTTCTAGTTTTATATCTATAGTATATTATACGATGTACTAGGCTACAATGTAAAGTACATTTCTCACTGGGTCATGGTCAGCCACTGCTTTAGAGAACTGTTTCTCAGGCAGTAAAACAGTTGTAAATTCACCAAGAAAAAAGAGAATCTGTGCCCTTTTTTCTGATCCATTCATACACTAATTGGGGAATCTGTTCATACAGACTCCGTAGTCAATCCTATAACTAATTAAGGTATGGTATTTTGTATTTTGCGACCAGTATTACCAAGACCAGCTTCTAGATGAAACATTGGCAAGGGGGGGCTGAAGGACCTAAACCAGTGAACCACAATACAATTGTTTTTTATTAGAATTCAGACTATACATTCTAAATAACTAGTAGTAGGATCTAATCTTCATCACTCTAGAATCTACTAATCAGGATTTAAAATCTGTACACTTCAGTAATTGGTAGTTGAAAATCATACTTTAATTGAACTATATTATTTTGAACCCCTTACTTGTTTCAGCTTCTGGACACCACCAATAGCCAGAATATCTATCAAATTCTTCTTGAAGAACAAAGGTAGCAACTCCGGCTGATCTGGGATCCTCTTCCATGTTGGCTAGCTCTAGACAAACATAAAAGGCAAAATTATCACAGGAAGTTCTCCAACTTTTCATGGGTACAAAGCAGAATGATTCAGTTTGAGAGGCAGTTGTAGTAAATATAGTGGTAAACTCTGAAGCCAAACGAACTGAATTCAAATTTGAGCTCCATCATATATTGACTAACTTTGGGCAAATCACTCAATTTCATTCCAATGAAGTGTTCCATTTGTAAATGGGAATAAGAACCTACCTTTTACGGTTGTTATGAGAATTAAATTAATTAATTCACATAAAGCACTTAGAACAAAGCCTGAACCGTATGTGCTACATAAATGTTATTTTCCAATTTAGCTAGAATCATGGAAAAAAGAACACACATAAAGAGTCACGTTAACTCATAACTCTCCTATGTAGAGAAGTGTATCTTTATACCTAGAATGGGTCTTACAGATTGTGTCATTCATGATTCCTCCTTCCTCCCCTTCCTTCCTTTCAAACAGAGCAGCTCAGCTTTGAACTGTTTTATACTTAAAAGTTTCCAGCAAATAGTTAGAAGGGAACTTGTGCTTTAAAAACAAGAGAAATCAGCCCTGGCCAGTTTGGCTCAGCGGTTAGAGAGTCGGCCTGCGGTCCTGAGAGACCCGGGTTCGGTTCCCGCTAAGGGCGCGTGCCTCGGCTGCAGTTTGTCCCCGGCCCTGGTCGGTTGTGCGGGTGGCAGCCACTCGATGTGTTCCTTTCACATCGATGTTTCTCTCTCTCTCTCTATTCCTCTCTCTCCCTCCCACTCTACCTGAACAAAAAATGGAAAAATGTCCTCGGGTGAGGATAAAAAAACAAAACAAAACAAACAAAAACAAGAGAAATCAAAGCACAAAGCCATATTATATAAGATTCCATGACATGGGAAAATGTTTATAATATCCTTGAATTTTAAAAAAGCATATTACTAAATAGCATGTACACTGTGATTCCATTTATAATAATGCTACACAAATATATATTTTATTTTTAAAAAATTTTCTCCCTTTATTGATTTTAGAGAGAGAGAAAGGGAAAGGGAGAGATAGAAACATCGATGAGAAAGAACATCAACTGGTCGCCTCCTACATACCCCCCAATGGGGATTTGTCCCACAACCTGGGCATATGCCCTGACCGGGAATCGAACCAGCAACATCTTGGTGCATGGGTCAACACTCAACCACTGAGCCACACTGGCTGGGCCACAAATATATATTTTAAAATGTATTTGGATGTAAAACAAATGTGGTTTTCTCCAAATAGTGAAACTATAGACAAGCTTTAAAAAAAAAACAACATAATTTATGAAATCTTAAGTATACATTTTATTTTTGGAAAATGTAACCACACCCTATCAAGATAGAATACTTCCAACATTTCAGAATGTTTTTTCATGCCCCTTCCCAGTCAATGTCCATTCTTGCCCAAAGTAACTGTTGATCTGATTTCTATCACCATAGGTTAGTTTTCCATATTCTAGAATACCATATAAATGAAATCATACAGTTCTATTTGTGTCTGTCTTTTTAAGATTCATCAACGTTGCATCAACCTCATGCTGTATCAATGTATCAGTAAGTCCTTCCTGTTTACTGCTGAATGGTATTCCATTGTATACTATAGTTCTTTTATCTATTTATCTGTTAATGGACACATCTGGCTGCTTCCAATTTTTGGCTATTATGAAGAAAGAGGCTATGATCATTCTCTTTTATTTTTATCCTCACCTGAGGACATTTTTGCATTTATCTTCAGATAGAGCAGGAGAGAGAGGAGGGAAGAAAGAGAGAGAAACATCAATGTGAGAGAGACACATTGACTGGTTGCCACCCACATGACCCCAACTGGGGCGGGGGACAAACTGCAACCGAGGTACATGCCCTTAGTGGGAACCGAACCCAGGTCTCTCTGGTCCGCAGGCCAACACTCTAATTACTGAGCCAAAGTGGCCAGGGCACTATGATCATTCTTGTATAAGATTCTTTGTGGCTCTTTGAGGAAGATGTGATCGCAGCTATAGCAGAACTCCATTTCGCCCGCTCCTGCTTCTGCTTCACTGCTGTTCATTCTCACAGAAAATAAGTCAGTTAGCAAGCAACACCACAGTTATGGCTTTTGAAGATACCAGAAAGACACCCGGGGAACAAGAGGTGGTGGTTCACTGAATTAGAATTACTCTAACTAGCCACAATGTAAAAATCTCTGGAGAACAGGTGTGATGACTTGATGAGAGGTGCAAAGGAAAATAATCACAAAATGAAAGAACCAGTTTGGATGTCTACCAAGACTCTGAGAATCATTACTAGAAAAACTCCCTGTGGAGAAGGTTTTTAGACTTAGGATTGTTTTCAGATGCGGATCCACAAGTGACTCAATGACTTGCACAGTCCTTCTGAGATAGTTAAACAGGCCACTTCCATCAGTATTGAGCCAGAAGTTGAAGTCACCATTACCAAAGCTTAAATCAACTTTTTTTTTTTTTAATAAACTGACTATCAGGTGTTATGAATAAAAAAGAATCTCTGAGGATATATGTTTTTATTTCTCTTAAATAAAGATCGAGGAATGGAATGGCTGGGTAGTATGGTAAGTATATGTTTAACTTTTAAAAAACTGCCGCATAGTTTTCCCAAGTATTTGTATTATGTTATAGACATAGCAGAAATGTATGCTGAGTCTCTCCAGCTTTTGCTGTTCTTTATCTTTTTCACTTTAGTCTAATGGGTATGTAGAATAATATTTCATAGTCATTTAAATTTTATGTATTATTATTATTACTTTTTTTAAACCTTACCTGAGGACTTTTTTTGCATTTATCCTCAGATAGAGCGGGAGGGAGAGAGGGAGGAAGAGAGTGAAACACAGATGTGAGAGAGACACATCAAGTGGTTGCCACCGACATGACCCCAACCAGGGCTGGGGACAAACTGCAACCGAGGTATGTACCCTTAGCGGGAACCGAACCCAGGACTCTCTAGGCCATGGGCCGATGCTCTAACTGCTAAGCCAAACAGGCCAGTGCTTTCTGTATTATTTTTCATTGTCTGTATTTTCTATATATTGTCTGAAATGAATGTGCAGTATGAACCAATAATCCCTTATCCAAAATTTTTGAGTTCAGAAGTGTTTGGAACTCACAATTTGGGGGATTTTTCATATATTATACATCTATCATATAATTATGTCATATCTCCAACAGAGTAATCAAATACCCTGTAATTAAATACACCAATATTCCTGCAGCAAACACAGGAATAGGCACACAAAGTAGGATTAAGATTATAAATATCCTCAGGTCAGTTCAGGTCAGGTTTCGCCACCAAATGAGTTTTAGCACCAAGCTAATGAAAACTAATCTGGTCCTGGCCGGTTTGGCTCTGTGGTTAGAACGTTGGCTTGTGGTCCAGAGACCTGGGTTCGGTTCCCGCTAAGGGCACGTTCCTCAGTTGTAGTTTGTCCCTGGTCCTGGCTGGATCGTGCAGGAGGCAGCCACTCGATGTGTCCCTTCGCGTCAATGTTTCTCTCTCTCTTCCTCTCCCTCCCTCCCACTCTGTCTGAACAAAAATGTCCTCGGGTGAGGATTAAAAAAAAAAAAATCTAATCTGAGTCTTCAAAGTTATTTTGAATTCTGGAATTAATGATATAGCCCAAACCAGTGCTCATTTTTCTTAGATTTTTCAACTACCCCAAAGTTATAGCCCCCAAACTGTTTTATATTTTGTTCTCTTTTAGATATGAAAATAGGTACCACTCATTTGTATCTCCCTATTACTTAGTACAGACATTAATTATTAGGAGTTATTTATTAAATGAATAAATGGTATCATCCTGTTCTCTCAGTAAGACATAGCATTTCAGAGTAGAGGCTGGTATTCATATTATTTTTAAATTCCTCTATCATAGCAGGCAGAAATAAACACAAATATATGCATATGCTGACTGACTAAACCCATCTAAAAGCAAACTTTCCTTGAAAAGCTGTTGTGAATAAGAGGAATGAGTGCTGATGCTCACTTCTCTACTTACTTTTCTATCTAAACAAACACATAGCACTTATTATGTTTCAGACACCGTCCTAAAAACTTCACAAATATTAACTCATTATTAAAACCTCATAAAAACCCTATGATGACATGCTATAACCTTTTTACAGATACAGAAACAAAGAGATAGATTAAATAACTTAAAATCACAGAGTTAAAAAATGGTAGATCTGGGATTCAAACCCAGATAGTCTGGTTCTAGATTGTACTTTTAACTAATTCTGAAAATAAAAATATACTACATTGCCTACATGTACACAAAAGAAGAGAAAAAACAACAACACTACTACAGAATTTTGCAGTTTCATTGCTTTCTACTTTAAATTCTGCCAATCTTCACAATAATCCTGTGTGGAAAACAATTCTACAGAAGAAAAAATTAGACTAAAGAATGCCTTAATTCTATAGTTTCTCTGAGGGCCATAACTATATCTTATTCAATTCTGTATCCTTAGTTCCTGCCACATCACCTGGCACATAGGTACTTAATGTATTTTTGTTGATTGACTGAATAGTTAGATTTCTTAACTTCTAATTAATCTGTTATTGTCAGAACTTTGCAGTCCCAGCCTCAAGTGCAAAAACTAGTACATAGTGAGGGTTCAAAGTTTGTTAACCTGTTAACCGAGTGGGACGTATTTACACAAGTTCGCGCCCATTATATGCTGCCTAATTAAAAAGGGAATTCCCCGGTTAACAGGCTAAAACATAAAATTGCCAGGATTTCCAACCTACATTTAGTAACTACCAATCTACTCTTTCTACCGCCATTGGTAGCTGTTCTGATTCTCTGACTCTACATGGAGACCCATTAAGCACCAAAAATGTACTTTTTACTTAAATTTTCCCTACTCCACCCTCATTTCTCTATCCTATGCTCCAGTTTTAGGCCATAAAACCTGAATAATTGCAACAGCCAAGCTTTGGTGTCCCTGTTTCGTCTTCTGCTTCTCAAATATAATTTTCACAAAGTACCCAGAACAGTGTACCTACAATGTGGTTCTCACCATACCATTTGACAGCTAGAACTTTTCTTTCCTTTTTCTTTTTTTAAATCCTCACCAGAAGATACTCTTCCATTGATCTTCAGTCAAAGAGAGAGAGAGCAAGGAAGGAGGGAGAAGGAGAAAGGGAGGAAGAGAGAGAGAGAGAGAGAGACAGACAGACAGACATCGATGTGAGAGAGACACATCGAGTGGTTGCCTCCCACAGGACCCCAACCAGGGCCAGGATTGAACCGCAATCAAGGTACACACCCCTGACCAGAATCGAAGCTGCGACTCTTCAGTCCTCAGGCCAATGCTCCAACCACTGAGCCAAACTGGACAGGGCAACTGCTAGAACTTTTCAATGGACCCCCACATCATAATAAAGACCATGTTCATTTATATGAACATTTGTCCTATCTTTGTCCTGACTTTTCTTATCTGCCAGTTTTATCTATCTCCATTTCTTGACTCACCCTACTATGCTTCAGGATCATCACACTACTACTTCCACTCCTCGCACACACCACGGTACCTTCTACATCAAGACCTTTCTCACAGTCTCCTCATTTGGAGTATTGGCTACTACATAGTCATTATTTAAGATCAATTTAACTGTCACCTCTTCTGGGAAGCCTTTCCTGATCATGCTACCTTTCGTTTCTTTCTTTTCTTTTCTTTTGGTAGAATGGGAGGGAGAGAGACAGAGAAAGAGAGAAACATTGACGGGAAAGGGACACATCGAGTGGTTGCCACCCGCACAACCCAACCAGGGCCAGGGACAAACTGCAACTGAGGTATGCGCCCCTAGCGGGAACTGAACCCGGGTCTCTCTGGACCACAGGCCGACTCTCTAACCGCTGAGCCAAACCAGCTAGGGCCATGCTACCTTTCTATGGTGCTCTCATAACACCCTATGTTTGCCTCTTATATTCTGTTTTGTCAATTGTTTTTTGTTTTTTTAATCCTCACCTGAGGACATTTTTCCATTTTTTGTTCAGATAGAGCGGGAGGGAGAGAGAGAGAGAGAGAAACATTGATGTGAAGGGACACATCGAGTGGCTGCCATCCGCACGACCAACCAGGGCCAGGGACAAACTGTAACCGAGGTACGTGCCCTTAGAGGGAACCGAACCTGGGTCTCTCTGTACCGCAGGCTGACGCTCCAACCGCTGAGCCAAACCGGCCAGGGCTGTTTTGTCATTTGTTTATGTGGTTTCCTGGAGGGCCAGAACTATGTCTTATTCAATTCTGCATCATTAGTTCTTGCCACATTGGTACACAGGAACTTAGTGTATTTTTGTTGATTAACTAAGAGAACAGATTTTTGGACTCCTAATTCAGTGGTCTTTCTATAAATGTAAATTGTTCAGGAAAAGGCTTCTTTTACAATGGTGATTATCCTAATGAAGAAAAAATGTTTGCTGTCAATACACTATTATATTCTACGTTAACTTATTAGGGAAGATGCCTAATAAATCAACTTCGTAAACAACTAGATTAAGCAGAGTGACCACTCTTCATTATGGAGCTGATTTTTAAGCTCTGTTTCATATATTCAAAGAAAAAGCAGTATTTCCCATCTTCCATTTGTATGAAAGCTTTAGAAGAAAACATCCACATCTTTTCTGTGCTTTGAGTAGTGCTTAGTATTACTATAGTTACGTTAATAAAAATTAAGTATTTCCACAGTACACAGTTTCACAAAGTTCTGTTTTCCCTATTACGACAAAATAACTAAGTAGGCTCTCTAAAATGGAGAGATAAATTTTCAGATAGTTCTTACAGTATTAATATTTGTTTTCAAAAAACAAGATTAATTTTTTAAATTAAAATTTATTTTAATGAGCCCAGCAGGTGTGACTCAGTGGTTGAATGTTGACCCATACACCAACAGGTCGCCAGTTCGACTCCCGGTCAGGGAACTTGCCCAGGTTGTGGGCCCAATCCCCAGTGGGGGACATGTAGGAGGTTGCCAATCAATGTTCTTTCTCATCGATGTTTCTATCTCCCTTTCCCTTCCTCTCTCTCAAATCAATAAAAAAATATTAAAAAAAATAAAAATTTATTTTAAAGAGACCAGTTTGGGGAAATTCCGACAGTCTCATTTGGCTAAAAGAACAATCACATCAGAGCTACTGTTGTGCTGTCTGGAAACGAACATTAAAACAAGGCAGTGTCACACAGGTGATACATATCACTTATCCTCTGCAAGGTTTTCTTTTTTAATTTTAAAGATTTGAATTTAAAATATAAAGATCATCCAGTTTGCTTCATTTTCAAAACGTAAGAAAAGCAAATTATATTAAAAAAATATTCAGAAAAGTGAATTTGAAGAACTATCATTACCATTGTGCACATAGGTGAGCCTCCTTTCTTCTCTGGTTACAATGTTGGATATCCAAATATCATTGCTATGTATAAAAGCAATCCAGTCTGGATCAGCTGGGCATAATTTTGGATCCATTCTAATGTTGGGACAACTAGTCTCCACCAAATTGGGCCGTAAGGGTTGTTGCTAGAAAATTAAACAACATTTTAAGGAAAGTATCAGGTTGATACATACATACTCATTTGCCAGCACCTTTCCTATAAAATGAACAATAATTTCAAGTAATGTCAACTATGACAATTGGTTCCCAAGAAAAATATACTTTCATATGCCTTAACTTATTAGGAAAGACTTTTTTTAAAAATAAACTATGAATTAGAAAGCTACGGGTAACAGAAGAGGAAATAAATACAATATAACAGCACTTCATACATACATTTTATTGCCCAAAACTGTTATTTTGTTGTTGTTGTTTGTTAATCCTCACCCAAGGAGATTTTTCAGTTGAATTTTAAGAAAGAGTGGAAGGGAGGGAGGGAGAGAGAGAAACATTGATTGGTTGCCTCCTGAATGACCCCAACCAGGACTGGGAATCAAACCTGCAACCCAGGTACTTGCCCTTGACCACAATCAAACCCGAGACCCTTTGGTCAACAGGCCAATGCCCTAATCACTGTGTCAAACAGACCAGGGCCCAAACAGGTTTAATAGAATAGTTATTATTTATTAAATAACCTTTTTGTTTTTTAAACCCTCACCTGAGGATATTTTCCATTTATTTTTCAGATAGCGTGGGAGGTAGAGAGAGAGAAACATCAATGTGAAAGAGACACATTGACTGGTTGCCTCCCACACGACCCCAACCAGAGCCAGGAACCAAACTGCAACTGAGGTTTGTGCTATTGACCTGAATCAAACCCATGACTCTAGTCCGAGGGCTGACACTGTAACTGCTGAGCCGAACCGCCCAGAGTTTAAATAACCTATTCTTATTTATTATACATTTCAAATTAATCTTAATAATATAAAAGTTTGCTCATAAAAATGTAATGAAAGCCAGGATCATCACAATTCTATCAAAAGAATAGTTCTAACAGCACATAAAAATTTGCCAAGACCTACTTCAAGAAACAAGAATAATTTCTAGTTGACGATCTAACCTCAGAGCTTAAAGAACTAGAAAGCAAACAAAAAGAAAAACCCAGAGCAAGTACAAGGAAAGAACTAGTATTGATCAGAGCAGAAATAAACGACATAAAGACAAAAAAAAAAAAAAAAATTCAAAAGATCAATGAAACAAAGAGCTGATTTTCTGAAAAGATAAACAAGATTGATGGACCCTTAGCTAGACTTACCAAGAAACAAAGAGAAAGGACCCAAATAAACAAAATCAGAAACAAAAGGGGAGAGAAGTAACAACTGACACCACAGAAACACAAAGGATCATTAATACAATTATACGCCAACAAATTGGGCAATCTAGGCAAAATGGGCAAATTTCTACAAACACGGTCTCCCAAAACTAACCGGGAAGAGTTAGAAAACTTGAACAGACCAATAACAACTGAGGAAATTGAAGATGTAATGAAGAAACTCCCCACAAATAAAAGCCCAGGCCTGGACGGCTTCACGGGGAGTTTTACCAAACATTCAAAGAAGATGTAACACCCATTCTCCTCAAACTATTCCAAAACATCCAAGAAGATGGAAGACTTCCAAACTAATTTTATGTAGCTAGCGTAATCCTAATTCCAAAACTGGATAAAGACACTACAAAGAAAGAAAAGTACAGGCCAATATCCCTGATGAACACAAATGCCAAAATCCTTAACAAAATATTAGCAAATTGGATCCAATAACACATCAAAAAAATTATTCATCATGACCAAGTGGGACTCTAAAAATTGAACTGCCATTTGACCCAGTGATCCCATGTCTAGGAATATACCCTAAGAAGCCTGAAACACCAATCAGAAAGAATTTATGTACCTCTAGGTTCACAGCAGCACTATTTACAACTTCTAAGATCTGGAAACAGCCCAAGTGTCCATCAAAAGATGAGTGGATAAAAAAAGCTGTGGTAGCCCTGGCCAGTTTGGTGCAGTGATTACAGCGTTGGCCTGTGGTCCAGAGAGACCCAAGTTAGGTTCCCACGAAGGGCACGTACCTCGGCTGCGGTTTGTCCCCAAACCTGGTTGGGTTATGCGGGTGGCAGCCACTCGATGTGTCCCTTTCACGTCAATGTTTCTCTCTCTCTTTCTCTTCCTCTCTCTCCCTCCCACTCTATCTGAACAACAATAACAAAATGGAGAAATGTCCTCAGGTGAGGATAAAAAAAGTGGTACATGTACACAATGGAGTACTATGCAGCCTTAAGAAAGCAAGCTCTCGCCCTGGCCGGTTTGGTTCAGCGGTTAGAGCGTCGGCCTGCGGTCCTGAGAGACCCGGGTTCGGTTCCCGCTAAGGGCGCATACCTTGGTTGCAGTTTGTCCCCGGCCCTGGTCGGTTGTGCGGGTGGCAGCCACTCGATGTGTTCCTTTCACATTGATGTTTCTCTCTCTCTGTTCCTCTCTCTCCCTCCCACTCTACCTGAACAAAAAATAGAAAAATGTCCTTGGGTGAGGATAAAAATAAATAAATAAAGAAAGAAAGAAAGAAAGAAAGAAAGCAAGCAAGCAAGCAAGCTCTCATCCTTTGAGACGACATGTAGGGACCTGGAGAGTATTAGCCTAAGCAAAACAAGCCAATCAGAGAAAGACAAATATCACATGATCTCACTTATTTGTGGGATATAATGAATAAAACAAGCTGATGAACAAAACAGACCCAGAGACATAGAAAGGAGTACGGTTCTGACTGATAAACCTCAGAGGAGGGGGGCAGGGGGAAGGATGAGATAAACCAAAGAACTTATATTCGTAACCAATGGACATAGACAACAATGCTGGGGGGGAGTGGGAGCGGAATCAGGAGGAGGGTGTCTTGGGGGGGGGACATCTATAACAAAAATTAAATAATTAATTTTAAAAAATGCTTAAAATAAAATCAAACATTTAAAACGATTTATTAAGATGAATTAAGCTTTTAAGGGAACCAAAAATAGATTGCCTTGTGGTAATATTATCCTCCCAAACCCCCTTAGCACTTACTCTGAAAGTAAGCACTGATGCCCTTTACTGTAATATCTTCCTACATAGCAAGTGTTTTTAGAATTTAAAAAATTGCCCGGTCGGTGTGGCTCAGTGGATTGAGCATCATGCATGGACTGAGAGGTCCCGGTTTGATTCCTGGGCAGGGCACATGCCCAAGTTGTGGGCTTGATCCTCAGCAGGGGGCATGCAGGAGACAGCTGATCGATGTATCTCTCTACATTGATGTTTCTCTGTACCGCAGGCCAACGCTCTAACCGCTGAGCCAAACCGGCCAGGGCTCTACATTGATGTTTCTATCTCTCTCTGCCTACCTCTCTCTGTAAAAAATTAAATAAAAACTTTTAAAAAATTGTATATTAATGTCACTAGAAAAATTATTAACTCTTAAAATTGGAAATTAATACCCAAATTTCTTATTTTCTTTGCTACTAAATTTCTTAGTTGATGAGGAAACAGAATATTTTGGTTTAATTACCATTCTGATTTGGGTACAAATAACCCTTAGAACCCCAAAACAGATTTAATGAGTAGTAATACCAACTTACAGTAAATCCTTGTGGCCCTCCATCTTTTACATGATATATTCCACTACCAGCTTGAAAGAGAAATGTTCCACTTTCTTGGTGATAATCATAAGAAGCAATTCCAACTGTTCCAATGCGTTTTCTTTCTCTTAACAGTTCTTCTTCCCGAGAGTACATTCCATAGTCCAGTGTTGCCTAATGCAAAGAAAAATTACTTATTTCAGTCTTCTGAAAGCTGGCTTTTTGCTTTTAGCACTGAAATTCTAGCATCTCCAATATTACTGGGTCTACATTTTGAGAGACCCCCAAATTTGCCAGCAACTTTAAGCAGAGTAATTTGTGGAAGTCTGTTGAAATATTTCTTGGTAAAGGGTCTCTAGATGATTGTTATATATGTTAGAGAACACTGATTGTAAACATTATTTTCAAAGATGACAAATACAGATGAATACTTGCAAACCTGAAATAATGTTAGGTGAGGTTAAAAACAAGACAACCTTGGAATCCTGATAAAAACTCACCTAGTTTTGTCCTGGCCGGTTTGGTTCAGCAGTTAGAGCATCGGCCCAGGGACCAAACGGTCTCAGAGTCAATTCTGGTCAAGGGCACGTACGTTGGTTGTGGTTTGTCCCCGACCCTGGTTGGTCGTGTGGGCGGCAGCCACTCGATGTGTCCCTTTCATGTCGATGTTTCTCTCTCTTCCTCTCTCTCCCTCCCATTCTATCTGAACAAAAAATGGAAAAATGTCCTCAAGTGAGGATAAAAAATAAAAATCTAAAACAGACAACTGATATTTTAAATCAGTTGGAATTACTGCATAATCATATGCAAAAAGATAACACTGGATCTACTTTTCACATATTCCAAATGGGTTAGAGATTTAGTTGTTAAAATGAAACCAACTTTCCACTTCTACCCAAGATGGAGAAACAGGGCCCAGATATATCCTCCCATCTGAAACAACTGAGAAAATGGACAAAATATATGAAATAATCTTTCCAAGACACTGGACATCAGACAACAAAGGACAGTGATCCCTGAGAAATGGAAAACAAATGAGGTAAGCCCTACACTTGAACTGCCTTGACGGTTACCAGATGCTGGCAAACGAATGAAGAAGGTAGTAGGTCAAAGATTAAAAATCACAAAGATTGTGATGATAGTTGCACAACTGTGAATATACTAAAAACCACTGAACTGTATATTTTGAGTGAATTGTATGATATGTGAATTATATCTCAACAAAGCTGGTTAATAAAATAAAAGAATGGAAAAACATATTCCATGCTAACACTAATCAAAAGAAAGCTGGAGTGGCTGCAGTAAAGTAAATGTCACAGTAAAGAATATTGCTAGAGCCCTGGCCGGTTTGGCTCAGCGGTTAGAGTGTCGGCCTGTGGTCCAGAGAAACCCGGGTTCGGTTCCCACTAAGGGCATGTACCTCGGTTGCAGTTTGTCCCCAGCCCTTGTTGGGTCATGCGGGTGGCAACTACTGGATGTGTCCCTTTCACATTGATGTTTCTCTCTCTCTCTCCCCCACTCTATCTGAACAAAAAATGGAGAGATGTCCTCTGGTGAGGATAAAAAATAAATACATAAATAAATACATAAATAAATAAATAAATAAATAAATAAGAATATTGCTAGAAATAAGGTCATTTCATAACGATAAAGGAGTTAATTGATCAGGAGGACATAACAATCCTAGCCACTGATGCACCTAATAACACAGTTTCAAAAAAAGTAAAAATGAATAGAACTACAGGGAGAAATCGTCAAATCTACAATTACGGCTGGAGAGTTCAACATTCTCTTTCAATAATGGATAAAACAAATAGAAAATCAGTAAAAACATGGAAGACTTAATACAATTAACCAATTTAATCTATTGATCATTTATAGACCCAACAAGAGAACACATATTTTCTTTAAGTGAACACAGAACATTTACCAAGACGAACCATATTCTGGGCCATAAAACAAGACTCAAGCCCTGGCCAGTTTGGCTCAGCGGTCAGAGTATTGGCCTGCAGTCTGGGGAGACCCGGGTTCGGTTCCCGCTAAGGGGTATGTACCTCGGTTGCAGTGTGTCCTCGGCCCTGGTTGGGTCGTGCGGGTGGCAGCCACTCGATGTGACCCTTTCATGTTGATGTTTCTCTCTCTCTCCCTCCCACTCTATCTTAATAAAAAATGGAAAAATGTCCTCAGGTGAGGATAAAAAAAAAGACTCAATAAATTGGAAAAGATTCACATAATCAAAGTATGTTCTCTGACTCACATCTACTCCAAATATAAAACCCCAACTAAATTTCTGCCTCTAAATAAATGCTTAAAACATACACCAAATCACAGGATTAACAATGTCTAGTCCTACCTGAAAAAGATCCAAAAGAGGCTTCCAAGAGAGCATTAAGATTGCTGCTTTGTTGATGGTTTTGGGAATTTCAGAATAAAATAGTGTATTTTCTCTGTTCTCACCAGACATAGCTATAAGAGAAAAAAATCTTTTTTAAAATCATTTTTTAAAATAACGATCTACTGCAATCATAGTAGTAAGTACATAATGCCTTCTATATCTGTAAATTTTTGTACTCTGTGGAATCTATAATGAATGTTAACAAATAGCAGATACATATGCCATATGCCATGAAAATTTGCTTCAATAAAATTCTGGCTTCACAGAAAAATGTTCAGGTTTCATTCTGATAGTCCTTCTCAGAACAACCACAAAAGTGTATAAGATAATGTAAGGACAAGTGTCCTTTTTACTTTTTTTTTTTTTTAAATTGTTAGTCTCTTACAAGTTGGCAATAGACTCATCAGATTCCAAATGAGTGTGCTTTGTGGCAACTTCAGATTACTAAATTTCTTCTTTTTCTGAATCATTAAAGTACTTATTTATAGGTCTAAATTCTAGTTTTTCTTCATTATAAATATTCTATAACTGTAATCATTAATAAGTTTCAAAGGAAAGTGTACTCATTACATCTGATATCTGACTTGCTAAAAATCTCTTTGTCCTCTATTGGGGAAGGGTGAAGAAAAGAAATCTATATTTAGTAGAAAACAGGTATATTCTGGGAAATGCAATAACTGAATGGGAAGATCATAGTTGTGTAGAATAAGCTACATACAAGAGAGAATGGAAATACACTTCAGTTTTGAACCTGTGAATCAAAGGAAAACAAAGCCCTTCTACCCCAAATGGCGTTAGAAAGGTATCACTTCCAAAAAAGCTAGGAATGAAGGAAAGAGAAAATAAAACTCATAGGTAGAACAAGAAACTTGGGTGAAACAGAGTCTCAGCCTAGTGTTTCTGATAATGGCAGAGAAGATAGTTTGTGGAAGGGCATAGGAACTTCCCCACTGACCCTTGCAAAGGTAGGAGATGAGCCCTCAAATATCCACATCATCTTTTATCCCTTATTTTCCTAAACTTTTCTTAAACCTTGCTTAGTTTGTGTTGCCTTTGGAGTAAAAAATTAAATATCAGCTGACTTTACTTCAGCACTTGCTTTTGTCTTAAATCTATTTTCTATATTCCAAAGTTACTTTATAATAGAATTCTTAAAATTGCAGTCACCTATCCATACCATTCATAATTTTACTAAATGTGATCATATCTTCTTTAAACCCTCCTTCTAAGGGCCTTCAGACCTCAAATATGAAAAAAAGTGGTTCTCAGCTATCCTCAAACAAGAGCCATTCCCCATAATCATTACAGTTGCACCCCTTGAAACTGCTTATTCTATAATGTTTTCCTTGGCTTCATCCATACACATTTCTAAGGCATGGTGCCAGGGGGATACTAGACTTCTGCAGGGGGATCACGTCAAACGTTATATAAATGTCTAACCACTACGATGTAACACCTGAAACTAATATAATATTGAATGTCAACTGTAATTGAAAAAAATTTTAATTTCCAAGGCATTCTATGGACACACATCAGTTCTGTGCAAGCATAAAATGAGCTTTCCCCATTGTTTCTTTCCTCATGACATTACTGGCATTTGAAGTACAGTGTATATTAAAAATTTTAAAATAATGGATTTATATTGAGAAAAAAATTAAAACTCAAATGGATATAAGATTTGAACAAATGAAAAGACATATAACTTTTTGGAAAGCTCAAAATTCTAAAGACTGTCACTTTTCTCTAACTTTATCGATAAATATAATATAATCCTAAACTATTTAAGCAGAATTGAGGGGAAGGCGCTATACAAGCTAATTTTAAGGTCTCACAGAAAAGTAAGCAAACAAAAATAGTCAAAAAAAGTATGAGAATGATGATGGGTGATAGTGCTATCAAATAATAAAACATACAGAGCTATGATAATAATAGCAGCAGCATAGTACTGGCACTTAATAGACAGATCAGTGGAACAAAACAATGTCCAAAATATATCAAGATTTTATTTAATTAATTTATTTTTTATCCTTACCCAAGGATATTTTCCCCATTTATCTTCTGATAGAGTGAGAGAGAGAGAGAGGAAGAGAGAGAGAAACATCGATGTGAGAGAGACACATCAACGGGTTGCCTTCTGCATGACCCGACCAGGGCTGGGGACGAATTGCACCTGAGGTACATGCCCTTGACCAGAATCGAACCTGTGACTCATTGGTCCGCAGGCTGACGCTCTAACCACAGAGCCAAACCCACCAGGGCTAATTTTTCATTTTTAATTATTATTTTTTTAATCCTCACCTGAGGATATTTTTCCATTGATTTTCAGATAGAGTGGGAGGGAGGGAGAGAGGAAAGAGAAAGAGAAATATCAATGTGAGAGAGACACATCGACTGGTTGCCTCCCGCATGATCCTGACCAGGGCCAGCGATCAAACCTGACTGGGAATCAAACCTACGACCCTTCAGTCCATGGGCTGACACTCTAACCATTGAACCAAACCGGCCAAGGCTGAAACTAGTAGGTTATACATCAATTACACCTCTATTTAAAAAAATAATAATTACAAAAACTACAAAGGGAGATTGCTGTTCATTAATCAGATTGGGAAAAACAAAAAAGTTTGACTATTCACTATTGGTACAGGTATGGAGAAATAGACACTCAGAGATAATGCTGATAGGAATATAAACTCTATAACCTCATTGCAGGGGCAATTATCAATAAAAATTCAGAATATATGTACCTGTTGTCCTAGCAATTTCACTCTTTGAAATTAGTCCTATAAGTAAATGCACACATGTACAAAATGATCTAACGCAGTGATATTTGCCATCTCATCTTTTGTAATAGCAAAACAGAAAAACCTAAATGTCCATTATTAGAGGTCTGGTTAAGTAAAATATGGCATGGTTATCTAATGGAATGCTCTAAAGTCATTTAAAAAAAAAAAATGAATGAATCTATAATAACCAATATGGACTCCCACAGAGAATCTCTCTTAAAATACACACACACAGCCCTGGCCGGTTTGGCTCAGCGGTTGGAGTGCTGACCCTTGGGCCACAGAGTCGCGGATTCAATTCCTGTCAAGGGCACGTACCTTGGTTTGGTTTGGTTCCCAGCCCTGGTAAGGGTCGTGCAGGAGACAACCAATTGATGTGTCTCTCTCATGTCAATGTTTCTCTCTCTCTCTTTTCCTCATACTCTGCCTGAAAAAAAAAATACACACACAAAAGGGGAGGAAACCTATGCTTAAAAATTTAATAAATAAAAAGTTAATCAGTGGTATATTTAATTTAGACAGACCTCAAATCTGGAGTGAATAGACTCAGGAAGAAAAACCCCAAACCAGCCTTGGTTTAAAAAAATAAAAGCAGCAGCTATTGAGAGTGGGAACAAACGAATGGTTTTATTGTTTGTGTTCCTAATCTGACCATTACTAAGGAAAGGCATTTTGAACCAGCTTTAGAAAGAATAAATTTCTGGCATCTTTAACTCTGACTTTGAAAATAAGATAATGATCATTTCATTACTTGTTACCTGAAAGTAAAATAAAGTTAATGGGACAAACCAAAACTTCAAAGTAATTTTTTATTTTTTTCCCCCTTTAATGGAACCATCACCAATGCATTTATTTATTCACAAATTGTATCTAACCTTTAAATTTGAATTAAGAAAGCATTTCCTCTCAGAAACTGACTTCATACTCACCAAGGTAATAGATCCTGTCTGAATGAGGCCCATCTGGATCATTCCTCTTCACAAACATAAAATCATGTGGTGCCTTAGCCATCATGTAGCCATGATATTTTCTGGTATCAGCAAGCAGCTTTTTAAGCTGACTCCAGGAATATCGCTCAACATAAAACGGCTCCAATTTAGGCCGATCCCCTGATTCAATATTCTCCTCACACTCTGCAGTTTCAAAGATCTCAACACCCAGCTGTTCTGTTTCCATTGCTGCTGCCATGTTGCATTTTCCTAGAAAAACAAAGCACATGAAGTTGTTCTCAGGCCTGTCTTCTCTTATATTAATCAGAATGACAGTCTGATAGGGACCCTCACAAGCCCCGCCCACTGCAAGAAAAAGTGCTTTTCAGCAGTTACAATGCAATCTAGTAAGAAAAGCAATAGCTCCCCTTCTCTGTATTCGGTTTTAAAATGAGATTTTGTAGAAATTGAGGTCTTATCTATTTCACAGTGACTATAAATCCCTTTGGGAACCTTTGTAAAGGGCTCTCCTTAGGTATCTCTTGCCAAAATTCCTTTTTTCTTTCCCACACTGGAAGGAAACAGGCCATATGCCAATTGGCTGTTATGCTCCATCCAAGAGCATGTCAATAGTGAAGCTAAATGTGCCAAGGGAGTTAAGTGCTTCTGCACTTTAAAAATGACACATTTACTAATGTGCACTTCTTCAGTTAACAGAAATAATCATGACAGAAATAATCATAAACAACGTGCTTTCAATAATCTTTCCAGGGCACTTACCCCAGATAATATAAATACTGTTTCCTTGTCATTGAAATTCTAAGCAACAAAAGACTTAACTAGCTGGTACATTTTTCTCTGTCTTCTGCTACTCCCTAGACATCACAATCTTATGATCACTCTGGTGATTCTATACTACAAGGAATTTATATGACTATTATTACAGATTATATGTTTTACTCTCCTGATTAAATGAGAGAAAAAAAATGTTACTATCTTCAAGTGACTTTAATAGTTGAAGTAGTCTGTCCAGCTGGTATGGCTCAGTGGTTGAGCGTCCACCCACATACCAAGAGGTCACCAGTTTGATTCCTGGTCAGGGCACATGCCCAGGTTGTGGGCCCGATCCCAGTGGGAAACAAGTAGGGGCAGCCAATCAATGTTCTCTCCCATCAATGTTTCTATCTCTCGCTCTCTCTCCTTTCCTCTCTCTCTAAAATCAATAAAGAAAAAAAAAAAAAAACAGTTGAAGTAGTTGATACAAAAAGCAACTGACGCCCTGGCAGATGTGGCTCAGTTGGCTGAGCATTGTCCAGTGCACTGAAGGATCGCAGGTTCATTCCTAGTCAGGGAATATGCCCAGGTTTCAGGCTCAGTCCTGAGTTGGGGTGCATATGGGAGGCAACCGATCGATGTTTCTCTCTCTCTCTAAAATCAATAAGAAGCATATTAAAGACTTCCAGTCAAGATGGCGGTATACCTGCCTCCTCCCACAACCACATCGAAATTAAACTAAAGCCCTGGCTGGTATGGCTCAGCGATTAGAGCATAGGCCTGCAGACCAGAGAGACCAGGTTCGGTTCCCACTAAGACAGTGGTTCTCAACCTTCCTAATGCCGCGACATTTTAATACAGTTCCTCATGTTGTGGTGACCCCCAACCATAAAATTATTTTCATTGCTACTTCATAACTGTAATTTTGCTACTGTTATGAATCGCCATCGGGAATATGTGTTTTCCGATGGCCTTAGGCGACCCCTGTGAAAGAGTTGCGACTCACAGGTTGAGAACCGCTGCACTAAGGGCATGTACGTTGCAGTTTGTCCCCGGCCCCAGCTGGGGTTGTGCGGGTGGCAACCAGTCGATGTGTCTCTCTCACATTGATGATTTTCTCTCTCTCTTCCTCCCTCTCCCTCTATTTGAAATGCAAAATTGTTCTTGGGTGAGGATAAAAAAAAATTACAACTACAGAACAATCATTCAGAACTACCTGAAATCAAGCTGAATGGAAGTCCTACAATTATGAAATTAAAGAAGAAGCCACATCAAGACTGGTAGGAGGGGCAGAGGTGTGGACAGGCTGGTCCCACACTCACCTATGGCAGATAAAAATCTGGAGGATACCTCAGCTGAGAAGGTCCTCCCTGAGGAGTGAGGGGACCCCGTCCCAAACCAGGCTCCCAGCTCAGGGTTCCAGTACTAGGAAAAGAAGTCCCCATAACTTCTGGCTATAAAAACAAGCGGTAACTGAGGCTGAGGGGGGCTGAGGCTACTGGAGCAGGTACTTATTCAGACTTGCTTCCTCTGAGCTCAGAGCAGAGACAGCTTGAAAGGAACCAGAGACACACAGGGTAGAATTAAGCTGTTTGGCCTTAGGACAAGGGCAAGAGAGGCAGCTTTCTCTCTGACAGACACACAGAGGAGTTGGCCCCTGCAGAGGCCTTTGTTGCTTTGGTGAGCCTTTCCCCGAGGGCAGCAGATAGCAGCCTTTTCTGGGACTCCAGCAACCTGGCTTACACTGTTTGCCCCAACCTGGTGATTCCCTGAGGCCCTGAGCCATCCAACGTTGGACCCACCCAAGCTGTTTCCAATGGCTTTACCACAGGATTACCCTGTCTTGGATCCTGCTTCAGATTTTCCTAAAATCTCTCAAACAAGCAGCATCTGGTCTCACCAAGCCCCATACCTCTCGTTAAGTGGCACCAGACCTGGCACTAGAAGCAGCCAGTCTTGGTTCACAACTTGGCGTTTCCTGGGCACCTCCAAGCACAGCATAAGCAGCAGCCATCAGTAGATCACTTTGTAGCTTATGCCGGGTGGCCCTGGATAGAACACAGGCAATGGCTGACCTTGCCCCAGAGCCAACACACCCAGTGGACAGCTTCAGACCACATCGAAGCATCACCACTCAACCACTGCCACAAGTGACACACTCAATGAGTAGACTAAGAGGGTAACAGGGCCCTACTGGTGAGTCTTGCTCTGTGTGGGCCCCTACACAGCTGATCCTCCAAGGTAGTCAGAGGACAGTGGTCAGAGGGCACAGTTAGTCCTTGCAGCTGATCAGCCTGAGTAAATCCCTCCCACTGATGTGCCAACAGCAATGAAGACTCAATTACATCAGAAGGGTATATAATCCACACGAGGGGTGAACCTCAAGGGCCCAGCTTGGGTGATCAGGGAGGCTGTGCAACAGCCTACAACAACAGACCACCCTACGAAACCTAGGAGACGTAGCAATTCTACCTAATACATGGAAACAAACACAGGGAGGCAGCCAAAAATGAGGAGACAAAGAAACATGTCCCAAATGAAAGAAAAGACCAAAACTCCAGAAAAGAACTAAATGAAATGAAGATAAGCAATCAATCAGGTGCAGAGTTCAAAACACTGGTTATAAGGATGCTCAAGGAACTTAGTGAGAACTCCAAGAAACTTAGAACATCAACAACATAAAAAAGGACCAGTCAGAAATGAAGGATGCACTAACTAAAGAGTAAGTTACAGAGAATCCACAGTATAGTAGGTAAAGCCAAGAAGCAAACCATCAATTTGGAATATAAGGAAGCAAAAAACACCCAGCAAAAAGAAACAGCAAAAAGAAAAAATAATCCAAAAAAATGAAAATAATATAAGGAGCCTGTGGGACAACTTCAAGCATACCAACATTTGCATCTTGGGGGTGCTAGAAGGAGAAGAGAGAGAGCAAGAAATTGAAAACCTATTTGAAAAAATGACAGAAAACTTCCCTAACTTGGTGAAGGAAACAGACATACAAGTCCAGGAAGCACAGAGTCCCAAACAAGATGAACCCAAAGAGGTCCACACCAAGACACATCATCATCAAAATGCAAAAGGTTAAAGACAAAGAGAATCTTAAAAACAGCAAGAGAAAAGCAGTTCATTACCTACAAAGGAGCTCCCACAAGACTGTCAGCTGATTTCTCAAAAGGAACTTTGCAGGCTGGAAGGGAGTGGCAAGAGATATTCAAGGTGATGAAAAGCAATGACCTACAACTAAGATTACTCTATCCTGCAAAGCTATCATTTAGAATCCATGGTCAGAGTTTCCCAGACATGAAAAAATTAAGGAGTTCATCACCACCAAACCAGTATCATATGAAGTGTTGAAAGGTCGTCTTGAAGAAGAAAAACAAATACGAACAATAAAATGGCAATTAATACATATCTATCAACAATTGAATATACAAACAAAATGAACAAGCAGAACAGAAACGGACTCATAGATATGGAGAACTTTTTGTTGCTTGCAGGATAGGTGGGGGCTGGGGGAATGGGTGAAAAAGATGAAGGAATTAAGTAGTACAAATTGATTGTTAGACTGCTGAACCTCAAAGAGAAGGGGGGGGATAAGATAAACCAAAGAACTTCTATGCATGTATGCATAACCAATGGACATAGACAATAGTGTGGTGAAGGCAGGAGAGCGGGATTGGGGAGGAGGGGGTCAATGGGGAAAAAAAGGGGTTACATCTGTAATACATTCAACAATAAAGGTAAGTTAAAAAATAAAAAACACATTAAAAACCCTGAAAAACTCCACTTTACACTATTTGTGAGATGAGAGAGGCAAATAACATCTTAGTATTATTATGAGAATATCCTCAACTTCAATGACCTCCCCATGAAAAGGTCTCAGGGACTCCCAAACCACACAATGGAAACCACTCCATTAGAACTATTGGATAAAATTATACAATGCATGGGATGTGCTTTAAAATATCCAACAAAGCCCTGACCGGTTTGGCTCAGCAGTTGGAGCGTCGGCCTGCGGTACAGAGAGACCTGGGTTCGGTTCCTGCTAAGGGCACATACCTCGGTTGCAGTTTGTCCCCGGCCCTGGTTGGTCGTGCGGGTGGCAGCCACTCGATGTGTCCCTTCACATCGATGTTTCTCTCTCTCTCTCTTCCTCTCTCTCCCTCCCACTCTATCTGAACAAAAAATGGAAAAATGTCCTTGGGTGAGGATTAAAAAATATATATATATATCCAACAAAAATAACATTTTAAGTGGTAGGACTAGAGGAAAAAAGAATGGCAGGATGAAAATAATCGCTGAAGCTGGGAGGTAGTTACATTAAAGTGCATTACACATTAAAAAAAAAACAACAAAAAAAAAAACAGCCTGGCTGGGGTGACTCAGTGGTTGAGCATCGACCCATGCACCAAGAGGTCACTGGTTCAGTTCCCAGTCAGGGCACATGCCCAGGTTGTGGGCCAAATCCCCAGTGAGGGGCATGCAGGAGGCAGCCAATCGATGTTCTTCCTCATAGATGTTTCTATCTCTCTCTCCCTCTCCCTTCCTCTCTCTCTAAAATCAATAAAGAAAAATTTAAAAAAAAATTTTTTAAATAACTTTAAAAAAAGCAATTGACATCTATATTATCAATGTTTTGATAAAAGTCTGAGTTCAATTTACCAGTTCAATTCCCAAGCAGTGTTAATATTTCATCTATTAATAATGTTTCTTTTCATGTTACAAATCCAGAAGAGGATGTAGTTTTCCTTTATCTATTTCAATATTAAAATGCAACAGGAGCAAAGTATCAGAGAAAATAACAAGCAGTGTTATTATAAGCCATTGTGTGATATTCTGACATGCATTATTCATTACCAAAACAGAAGCAACATAAACAAAAATTCTGGTACAATCCGCTACTGAACTATTAAATGTCAAAAACTTGTGGACTTGGGAGACTGCATTTATGTAAGCAAATGAACAACAATCAATACATGGTATATATTTAATATGCCTTTCCTAAAGTTCAATTTTGCAGGTTACCAAGAGTTCATGGTAAGAACTACCAAGCACATAGAAAAAGTAATTAGGTTTAGGTTGTGAATTAGCTCATCAGGCATGCATCATGGCATGCAAAATAAACTAAACTGTGTGGCCAGAATATTGTGTCTTTTTTTCATACTCCAGTGAGTTGTACTACTATTTTCAATGTAATAGTAGCAAAAGTGGCCAGAAAAGTCATTCAAGAGCTTTATCATGTATACAATGTGTAACATTATTATAACTTTATATTAGTATACAACTTGTAATATTATTACAACTGGGCATTTATCACCAATGATTAAAATCCAAACAGCTTAGCAGAGAAAAATCATTTAACTCAACTGGTATTCAGCACACTGATATTAAGTGGCAGTACATGACAAAGGTGGTTATTTGTCCACCTAAAAGCTAGTTTGGCCAGTTTGGCTCAGCGGTTAGAGCGTCGGCCTGCGGTCCGGAAAGACCTGGATTCGGTGTCCGCTAAGGGCGCGTACCCCGGTTGCAGTTTGTCCCCAGCCCTGGTTGGTCGTGTGGGTGGCAGCCACTTGATGTATCCCTTTCACATCGATGTTTCTCTCTCTCTCTCTCCCTCTTTCTTTCTCTCCCTCCCACTCTGAACAAAAAATGGAAAAATGTCCTTGGGTGAGGATAAAAAATAAATAAATAAATAATAATAAAAAAAGCTAGTGTAGGCCTACTGTCAAATGTGTCAATGAATATGGCCTTTTGTTTGTTTTGTTAATCCTCACCGGAGGATATTTATCCACTGATTTTTAGAGAGTGTGGAAGAGAGGGAGGGAGGGGGTTAGGGAAACATCAATGTGAGAGAGATACATCTATTGGATGCCTCCTGCTCAAGCCCTGACCAGGCTGGGGGTCAAACCTGCAAACTAGGAATGGAACCCACAACCCCCCAGTGCTCAGGCCAATGCTCTAACCACTGTGTAATACCAGTCAGGGCAGATCTAGCTTTATTTTTAATGGAGCAAGAGAAGCAGATACATAAAATGGCTCATTATTCTCAACTCCCCTTGGATTAAATTTGGAACTTCATCTCCAAGAATAGGACTAGGGAATAGAACAGGGAGCTAAGCAGACAGACGTTTGAAGTCTTACTGCCCAGCTTCTTGAGTTATCATTAACTTGACTGATATCTCTACTATGTAAAAGTTGCGTTAGCTTGTACTTAAATAAAATTATTAGTATTCCTAAACTGTAAAGTCCCTGAACTATTTCTCTGTCTTTGTACACACAAACATATTTCACAGTTCAAATGACACTACTACTCCATGTTTATGGTAAATGTATATCCTGCATTTCCTAAGATAAGTTTTAGTAATTCACACAAATGTGTAACTAAGTGATTTAACTTCTAGATTTCTGTAACACCTATACATACAGATAAATTCTCAAAATACATGACCCAAATTTTACAATTTCAAGAATGAGAAAATATGGTCAGGCCCTGGCCGGTTTGGCTCAGCGGTTAGAGTGTCTGCCCAAGGACCGAATGGTCTTAGGTTCAATTCCTGGTCAAGGGCATGTACCTTGGTTGCAGATTCAATCCCCAGCCCAAGTAAGGGTCGTGTGGGAGATCACCATCAATGTGTCTCTCTCTCACATTAATGTTTCTCTCACCCTCTCTACCCTCCACTCTATCTAAAAATCAATAGAAAAATATCCTCAGGTGAGAATTAACAACCAAAAAAAGAGAAAGAAAATAGGGTCAGCATACATTCTCAGCACAGAGCATACATTTCACTATCCCCATCTACTTCCTCACTTAAGGCCCTTCCCTGGTGCTTACCTGATTGTATTTTCATCTGCTCAGATCTCTTCCACATTCAAAGAGATCTTTTTGAAGTGACTTAACTTCAAGCATAGATCCTTCCACTCATTCTGCTCTCTTCTCATAGGAGTCTCTCCTTTTCTCACCATCCAATCCTATTCACCAAGAAAGTGAAATAAGATATAAGGCTGCTGATAATTATTTAGATGAATCATATGTGACCAAAAGATTAAATTTTAAAAGTCTCTTGCCCTGGCCCGTTTGGCTCAGCGGTCAGAGCATCGGCCCCGTGGACCAGAGTCAAGGGTTTCATTCCAGCCAAGGGCACCGTACCTTGGTTGCGGTTGTCTCCAGCCCCAGGGGCCGTGCAGGTGGCAGCCAATATGTGTCTCTCTCACATCAATGTTTCTCTTTCTCTCTCTATTCCTCCCTCCCTCCTCCCACTCTATCTGAAGATAAATGGAAAAATATCCTCAGGTGAGGATTAAAAAAAAAAAAGTCTCAAAATAGTACTTTAATACAGAATTATTCTTTTCGGTTAAAATATAATGCTGAATTATTTTGTATCTGCATTTTAGATTATTAAAATTATGAAAGTATTGCCCTGCAGGTGTGGCTCAGTGGACTGAGCCTCATCCCACAAACTGAGCAAGGTCCCAATTTGATTCCTGGTCAAGGGCACATGCCCAGGTTGTGGGCTTGATCCCCTGTGGGGGGCATACAGGAGGCAGCTGATCAATGTGTCTCTCTCACATCGATGTTTCTATCTCTGTCTAAAAAATCAATGAAAACATATTAAAAAAAAAATCTCGGTGGCCCTGGCTGGTTTGGCTCAGCGATTAGAACGTCAGCCCACAGACCAGTTGCGGGTTTGATTCCAGTCACAGTTCGGTCCCTGGCCCTGGTCGGGGTTGTGCAGGAGGCAATTAATTGATGTGTCTCTCATTGATATTTCTCTCTCTCTCTCTTTCCCTCCCACTCTAAAAATAAATGAAAAAAGATCCTCAGGTGAGGATTAAAAAAAAAAACAACTGTGTGTGTGTCCATCTGCCCATCCATCCACCCCACCATCCATCCACCCCACCCACCTTCCCTCCCCAAATAAAAAAAAATTATGAAGTTATTTCAGAAATACAATCAAAAGAATATCCTAACAATAGTATTAATGTGACACCTAGACATACATTAAAAGTTACAGAAAAGCTTTAAAAACAATAAAAGGCATACAGATGTGAGGTTATTCATTGGCTATTGCAAATCCTCAAAAATGACAAACGATTAAAAAATTAATTTTATGGTACTGTTCCTCTGTCTTACATAATACATTTGTATTATTTTACACAGCACATTTTGAGCTGGTTGGAGACAGAACAGACTCAGTAGAATAACCAATAAGAATTAAGAATAGGCCATTTTTGTGGAAAGGGAACTAACTTGCATTTAATAATTTAAGGTTTTCACAAGATAAAGAATGTACTATCCATTTTAAATGTGTTCCACTTATGCTTCTTTCCTTTCCACATGGAAAGAGCTAAATTAGGTAACTTTTCTAGAAAAAGAAGCGTATGGTTGTTTAAATTATGGCTTAGTAAAAGGAAAATAAAGGAGGATTTGTGATTACATCTGTTGCTTTATCAGTTTTAATTCTGCTCTGCTAGCCCAAGCTGGTGGTGCTGGAGAGAGAGGTGGTAAGAAAAGTTCAGTAGCAAATGAAGGGAAAACGGTGACATTATGACAGCACCGAAACAATATAGGAAGATGTCAAGACACCTCCCCATGCACTATAAGCCCCTCAGAGAATAGCATGTGGGTTAGAAAATAGCTTCATTCAGGACTCCTGAACTTGGACCCACTGAAATATCATATCTTAATTTTTAATCCAAGGACCAAATAGTCATCCACGTAAACACCCCAAGCCTCACTGAAATCTAGCTATTTCACTCTTCAGGGTCCACAGCTAGTCGAAAGGTTCATTATCAGACAGTGGGCAAGGATTTTGAAAGCTATGAATGAGGAATGTCGAGACGGGGGACTGGGGAGAGTCCAAGTCTTAGAAGTCTTAGGAGGAAAATGTGTAATAAGAGGAATTTTAAAAAGGAAAGTATCCTGCCCCAGGCAAGTGAAATAGAATGACGGGGCTAGTAAGCAGGGAAGGGAGGGGAATCGACCTAGCGTGAGGCAGTAGAGAGAAAAGAACACCAGTTGGGAAACGAGAAAATCTCAGTCCAAATGCGATCTACCACTGCTGGGCTTTAGGCAAATCCCTTCGCCTCTGCGGGCTTCCGATTCTCATCTGTAAGCCCGGACAATACCGGCTTCCAGCCCCGGCGAGGTTCACTTAAGATAACGGACGTGGACGTGCAAAGGCCAGCACCCAGCGCTCAGGGGGCGCCTAATGAACGTTGGTGGACTCGGAATTTCGGAGCCTCGGCTTCCTCTTCCGGCAAGGGGGCCCCGCCACAGTCTCTGGCCCGCGCAGAGCGGGCCGACCGGGGAGCGCGCCGGGCGGCTCCTCGGCGAGGCGGAGAGGGCCCGGGTGGGCTGGGGCCCAGGCCTCGCGGGCGAAGAGGAAGGAGAGGGGGCGGATACAGCACCTTCTCCCCCACGGCCCCGCCCGGACCGTCCCGACGCGTGTTACGGTGCGGGCCTGCGCCGCTTCATGCCGCGCCGCCTCCTCTCCCGACCCGGCTGCAGCAGCTTCCTCGGCGACGGCGCGGGTGGGAACCCAGGCGGAACGCGGCACCTAAAGGCGGCGGCGGGGACGGATCCCAGGGCTCCCGCGGCTTTGGCACTTCCGGTTCCTCGCGACCCTCCCTTCGACCAGCGAAGGCGTAGCGGGCGAAGAAGGGCGCCGCTCCCTGCTGGGTGGGGTCCGTTACGACAGTGCCTTCTCGTGGCCGGAGGAGCGAATGGGGCGTGGGAAGGAGACTGGTGTGGGGTGGGAGACAGATGAAATCCAGAAATGGACGAGTGATTAGCAGGATATCGCAGGACGTCACAGGACGAATAGTGGCTCGTCTCTACTCATCCAGTTTTTGCATTCAAATATATATCGAGTACCTGCTCTGTGCCTGGCAGAGTTGTAGGCACTGAGATTACAGGTAGGAGCAAGCTAGCCCAGAATCCCTACCCCTTCATGGAGATTATGTAGAGAGAAAAAGGAGTCAGGGCCCTGAGGATCATCTGAGTGTCTCATTGTTATAGTGAAAAGAAACTTGGAGTTAGAAAACTTGGCTGGAGTGCTAATTACTGGTCTACAGCAGATCTTGCTATCTCTCTTTTTTTTTTTTTTTTTTGGTGGTATGTGCCCCTAGCAGGAACCGAACCCAGGACTCTCTGGTCTGCAGGCTGACGCTCAACCAATGAGCCAAACTGGCCAGAACAGATCTTGCTATCTCTTTGAACCATGATTTCTTTATCTGTGAGAGAGACATAATATGTCACTTCGTTGCAATTAAGGAAAACTGTGTGTGTCACACTAACATAAAGATGGAGAAACTGGGGCCCGGGGTAGAGAAGTGAGTGACACTTATTATAATTAGAACCAGAGGCAGGTCCCTTGACCCACAATTTCTTTCCTAGTCCACACAATACATTGGCTGAAAAAGAAAAAGAGCCTGGGCGATGACTGAGGAAGTGGAAAAGCTGGGCCTATTTCTGTTATGACAAGAAACCATGTGTCAGAGGTGTGTGTCATTAGGATTTATTATAATAGCACTAATAAAAGATCAATTTGGCCCTGGCCGGATTGGCTCAGCGGTTAGAGCGTTGGCCCATGGACCAGAGAGACCTGGGTTCAGTTCCCGCTAAGAGCGCGTACCAGAGTTTCAGTTTGTGTCCGGCCCCTGTTGGGGTCGTGTGGGTGGCAGCCACTGGCTGTGTCTCTCTCTCATGTGGATGTTTCTCTCTCTCTTCCTCCCTCTTTCCCTTCTGCTCTATCTGAAGATGAATGCAAAAATGTCCTCGAGTGAGGATAAAAATTAATTAATTATTAATTAATTTGTAAAAAGATCTATTTGGGTGCCATTTCCACTCCTCAGTATGTAATTATTCACTCTGGTTAAATGAGTCTTACCTCAGGTTTGTTTTTTGTAGCTGAGCTCCCCTTAAAGAAAGGTACAGCCACATACACACAATGAAACACTACTCAGCTGTAAGAAAGAAAGATCTCTTATCCTTTGAGACAACTTGGAGGGACCTGGAAAGTATTATGCTAAGCAAAATAAGCCAATCAGAGAAAGACAAATACCACATGATCTCACTTATTTGTGGAATATAATGAACAGGAAAAGCTGATGAACAAAATAGACCCAGAGACATAGAAAGGAGTATGGTTCAGACTGAAAAACTTCAGAGGGGGGTAGAATGGGAGAAAGGAATGGGATAAACCAAATAACGTATATGCATGTATGCGTAACCAATGGACATAGACAACAAAGCTTGGGTGGGGGGATAGGGAGGAGGGTGTCTGGGGAGAAAATGAAGAAACATCTGTAACAAAAACAAACAAACAGGCTGCTTCTTGAAAAAAAAAAGGTACAGCCATTTTCACTGGAAATTTGAATTTTCTGCATGTAATCCAAAAGTCGATTTTAAGGCTTTGAATGCCCATGCACATTCTAACAAAATACAGTGAAATATCCTACACTTTATTTCATTCATCCAACAAGTGTTTATTAACTCTCTGCCACATGCCTATCATTGTTCTAGGAAATGGGGCTACAATAGTGACCAAAGTAGGCAAACCCCCTGTCTTATACAGTTTACTTTTTTTTCTTTTCCTTTATTGATTTTAGAGAGTAAGGAAGTGAGAGGGAGCGAGAAATAGAAACATCGATGAGAGAGAACATTGGCATGCCCCCCTACTGGGGATCAGGCCCACAACCTGGGCATGTGTCCTGACTGGGAATTGAACCGGTGGCCTCTTGGTGCATGGGTTGATGCTCAACCACTGAGCCACACCAGCCGGACTAGTTTACATTCTAATAAGAAGAAAAAGACCTTCTGAAAAAAAAAAAATATATATATATATATCTTTATATATATATATATAATTTTATGGATTTTAAAAAACAAACACCAAGGAGGTAAAGGACTTGCTTAAGTCACACGGCTAATTTTGGATTGAACCAGATCTGAATTCAGATTTCATGGGTTTTGGTCTTATTATCTTTCTGTGTGGCAGGCTCAAAAAGCCTCAAACCCTGAGAAAGCTGAAGGGGAAAATCTCCACCATGCACCCTGGCAACCTTGCATGTATCCATATAGGCCTCATAAGGAAAGGCTTGAACCAAAGCATATCTGAGTGTTAGCAGAATGTCTTGTGATCTTTCCAGAACAGGAGAAGATAGGAGGCTTTGAGGACCTTAATCAATCAGCAACACATACTAATATCTTCCTGGATTTAGAGCATGACCCAGATCAAAGGAAGAGAAAACTCTGGCTTCCCTGAAGGGCATAACTTGCTGGATAGCACTGCCTGCACCACGTCCACCCAACAATAAGCATCATTCTTTCCATTTGAATTTAGTGCGGACACAAGTTTTTGACATCGTTAAAGAAATACCCACCAATAATCCCACTATCCTACCATAAATTTTACCTGTTTTACATATGCAGCAGGGCCACATTTTCAAATGACATACAGATGTGCACATACATTTAATATGCTTAGTTTTTCTATTGTTCAACCCAACCTGTATTTATATGATCTATTTCACATTGTTAAGAGCTGGCTACGTGTCTGACAGAACGTATGTTCTTGAGTCAGAGACTCAACCTCCCCCACAATCTCAAGGAATTAGGCTTGCATTGTGTTTGTGCAGTACGGGGTTAAGTGTGACCCAATGTCTTGATGTCTTGAGTCAGAGACTCAACCTCCCCCACAATCTCAAGGAATTAGGCTTGCATTGTGTTTGTGCAGTACGGGGTTAAGTGTGACCCAATGTACCTTGAAATACCTGAGATAACACACTGGGTGTTCCTGGGTGCTCCTGCTATCTGCAAGGCAAACTAATTCTATATAGCATTGTTATAGCCCTGGGCATTATATTAAGAAGATCCTGCCTGGCAGGTGTGGCTCAGTGGTTGAGCGTCAACCCATGCACCAAGAGGTCAACGGTTCAATTCCCGGTTAGGGCACATGCCCAGGTTGTGGGCCTGATCTCTAGTGGGGGGCATGCAGGAGGCAGCCAATCGATGTTCTCTCTCATTGATGTTTCTATCTCTCTCTCCCTCTTCCTTCCTCTCTCTAAAAATCAATAAAGGAAAAAAAAAAGATCCTATTTTCTTATATCACTAAACTTTTGCTGTGAGGTATAAAAGGCATGTAATAAAGGATATCGAGGCTGATCCTGCTGAGGACACTCCTCCTGATCCCATATCTGTGTCGTCTTCATTCCCACCGCTCAAACTCAGGGACTCTGCTCTCCAGGCTGGTTCCTGGCATCACGTAATAGTAAAAAGTATGATCTTGATTAATTCCAGGCAAAGCCAGTCATACAATTCAGGATCTTCCCTGGTGGAAAAGATGATGACCAGTCCTGGTCTACGCCAGGATCTGCTAAGATGTCCTTTCTCCCTGCAGTAGTGGTTTGAATAGTGTCCTCCCAAAATCCCTGTCCACCCAGAACCTCTAATGAGATTTTTCCCATTTATTTATTTATTTTTGTTACAGATGTTTCTCCTTTTTTCCCCCCATTGACACCCTCCTCCCAATCCCACCCTCCCCCACAGCATTGTTGTCTAAGTCCTTGTTTATGCATATATGCATATAAATTCTGTGGTTTATCTCTTCCCTCCCCCCACATCCACCTCTTCTGAGATTTGTCAGTCTGCACCCCACTTCCATATCTCTGAGTCTATTTTGTTCCTCAGTTTATTTTGTTTATTATATTCCACAAATAAGTGAGATCGTGTGATATTTGTCTTTCTCTGATTGACTTGTTTTGCTTAGGATAATACTCTCCAGGTCCTTCCATGTTGTCTCAAAGGATAAGAGATCTTAACTTTCTTACAGCTGCATAGTATTCCATTGTGTATATGTACTACAGCTTTTTTTATCCATTCATCTGTTGATGGGCACTTGGGCTGTTTCCAGATCTTAGCCATTGTAAATAGTGCTGCTATGAACATAGGTACATATATTCTTTCTGATGGTGTGTCAAGCTTCTTAGGGTATATTCCTAGAAGTGGCATCACTGGATCAAATGGCAGTTCAATTTTTAATTTTTTGAGGAAACACCACATTATTTTCCATAGTGGCTGCACCAGTCTGCATTCCCACCAGCAGTGTGCTAGAGTCCCCTTTTAACTCCACACCCTCACCCAGCACTTGTTGTTTGATGATTTGTTGATGACAAGTGTGAGGTGATATCTCACTGTTGTTTTAATTTGCATCTCTCTGATGATTAGTGATGTTGAGCATTTTTTCATATGTCTCTTGGCCATTTGTATGTCCTGTTTGGAGAAGTGTTTATTTAGGTCTTGTGCCCATTTTTTAATTGGGTTCTTTATCTTCCTTTTGTTGAGTTGTATGAGTACTCTATATATTTTGGAAATTAACCCCTTATCTGATATATCATTGGCAATTATGCTCTCCCATATAGTGGGTTCCCTTTCCATTTTGATGGTTGTTTCTTTTGCTGTGCAGAAGCTTTTTAGTTTGATGTAGTCCCATGTGTTCATTTTTTCCTTTGTTTCTCTTGCCTTACTTGTATCAGTGAAAAATCTGCTGCGTGTGATGTCTGAAATTTTGTTGCCTACATTTTCTTCTAGGATTTTTATGGATTCATGG